AGTTTAGTCCTGACCGAGTCTAGTTTAGTCCTGACTGAGTCTAGTTTAGTACTGACTGAGTCTAGTTTAGTCCTGACTGAGTCTAGTTTAGTCCTGACCGAGTCTAGTTTAGTACAGGCTGAGTCTAGTTTAGTCCTGACTGAGTCTAGTTTAGTCCTGACCGAGTCTAGTTTAGTCCTGACCGAGTCTAGTTTAGTCCTGACTGAGTCTAGTTTAGTACTGACCGAGTCTAGTTTAGTCCTGACTGAGTCTAGTTTAGTCCTGACTGAGTCTAGTTTAGTCCTGACCGAGTCTAGTTTAGTCCTGACTGAGTCTAGTTTAGTCCTAACTGAGTCTAGTTTAGTCCTGACCGAGTCTAGTTTAGTCCTGACTGAGTCTAGTTTAGTCCTGACTGAGTCTAGTTTAGGCCTGACTGAGTCTAGTTTAGTCCTGACTGAGTCTAGTTTAGTCCTGACTGAGTCTAGTTTAGGCCTGACTGAGTCTAGTTTAGGCCTGACTGAGTCTAGTTTAGTCCTGACTGAGTCTAGTTTAGTCCTGACTGAGTCTAGTTTAGGCCTGACTGAGTCTAGTTTAGTCCTGACTGAGTCTAGTTTAGTCCTGACTGAGTCTAGTTTTGTCCTGACTGAGTCTAGTTTAGTACTGACTGAGTCTAGTTTAGTCCTGACTGAGTCTAGTTTAGGCCTGACTGAGTCTAGTTTAGTCCTGACTGAGTCTAGTTTAGGCCTGACTGAGTCTAGTTTAGGCCTGACTGAGTCTAGTTTAGTCCTGACTGAGTCTAGTTTAGGCCTGACTGAGTCTAGTTTAGTCCTGACTGAGTCTAGTTTAGTCCTGACTGAGTCTAGTTTAGGCCTGACTGAGTCTAGTTTAGTCCTGACTGAGTCTAGTTTTGTCCTGACTGAGTCTAGTTTAGTCCTGACTGAGTCTAGTTTAGTACTGACTGAGTCTAGTTTAGTACTGACTGAGTCTAGTTTAGACCTGACTGAGTCTAGTTTAGTCCTGACTGAGTCTAGTTTAGTCCTGACTGAGTCTAGTTTAGTCCTGACTGAGTCTAGTTTAGTCCTGACTGCGTCTAGTTTAGTCCTGACTGAGTCTAGTTTAGTACAGACTGAGTCTAGTTTAGTTCTGACTGAGTCTAGTTTAGTCCTGACTGAGACTAGTTTAGTACTGACTGAGTCTAGTTTAGTCCTGACTGAGTCTAGTTTAGCCCTGACTGAGTCTAGTTTAGTCCTGACTGAGTCTAGTTTAGTCCTGACCGAGTCTAGTTTAGTCCTGACTGAGTCTAGTTTAGTACTGACTGAGTCTAGTTTAGTCCTGACTGAGTCTAGTTTAGTCCTGACCGAGTCTAGTTTAGTACAGGCTGAGTCTAGTTTAGTCCTGACTGAGTCTAGTTTAGTCCTGACCGAGTCTAGTTTAGTCCTGACCGAGTCTAGTTTAGTCCTGACTGAGTCTAGTTTAGTACTGACCGAGTCTAGTTTAGTCCTGACTGAGTCTAGTTTAGTCCTGACTGAGTCTAGTTTAGTCCTGACCGAGTCTAGTTTAGTCCTGACTGAGTCTAGTTTAGTCCTAACTGAGTCTAGTTTAGTCCTGACCGAGTCTAGTTTAGTCCTGACTGAGTCTAGTTTAGTCCTGACTGAGTCTAGTTTAGGCCTGACTGAGTCTAGTTTAGTCCTGACTGAGTCTAGTTTAGGCCTGACTGAGTCTAGTTTAGGCCTGACTGAGTCTAGTTTAGTCCTGACTGAGTCTAGTTTAGTCCTGACTGAGTCTAGTTTAGGCCTGACTGAGTCTAGTTTAGTCCTGACTGAGTCTAGTTTAGTCCTGACTGAGTCTAGTTTTGTCCTGACTGAGTCTAGTTTAGTACTGACTGAGTCTAGTTTAGTCCTGACTGAGTCTAGTTTAGGCCTGACTGAGTCTAGTTTAGTCCTGACTGAGTCTAGTTTAGCCTGACTGAGTCTAGTTTAGCCTGACTGAGTCTAGTTTAGTCCTGACTGAGTCTAGTTTAGGCCTGACTGAGTCTAGTTTAGTCCTGACTGAGTCTAGTTTAGTCCTGACTGAGTCTAGTTTAGGCCTGACTGAGTCTAGTTTAGTCCTGACTGAGTCTAGTTTTGTCCTGACTGAGTCTAGTTTAGTCCTGACTGAGTCTAGTTTAGTACAGACTGAGTCTAGTTTAGTCCTGACTGAGTCTAGTTTAGTCCTGACTGAGTCTAGTTTAGTACTGACTGAGTCTAGTTTAGTCCTGACTGAGTCTAGTTTAGTCCTGACTGAGTCTAGTTTAGTCCTGACTGAGTCTAGTTTAGTACTGACTGAGTCTAGTTTAGTCCTGACTGAGTCTAGTTTAGTCCTGACTGAGTCTAGTTTAGTATGTAATGTGCCTTTTGAGAATTTTTGTTTAGTTTTTTTGCTTCAGTGATTTTGAGAGAGACCTGCTTCAACCTCCTGCAGAGCTGCTGGCTCCTCCTGGTCCTGACCATGTGACTGTTCCTGATCTGTTCCTTCATGGTCTCTTCACACATTGAGTTCTTCTGTGGTTGCTGTGGCCTTTGCTGACCAATCCATTCATGGTCCTGGGTCCAAGATGTGGAGTCTCTCCGGACCGCTGCCTTCTTATATATAATATATATAAAAAAATATTTAAATAAATTGTCCACTCACCTTTGGCCCTCCGTGGGCGGTTATCCCTCTCTAAGCTCGGGTCCTCTACCAGAGGCCTGGGAGCTTGAGGGTTCTGCGCAGTATCTTTGCTGTTCCTAGCACTGCACATTTCTGGACCGAGATGTCCGAGGTTGTTCCGGGGATCCGCTGTAACCACTCTTCTAGCTTCGGGGTCACTGCCCCGAGTGCACCGATCACCCCGGGCACCTCCTATATATATATTATATATATATATTATATATATATATTATATATATCTGGACCTTTTTGGAGGATTGGAGCGTTCATAGTTTTCATGTTGATTTGAGATCAACGCTGTGGCCTCTCAGACTCTTGGGAAACTATGCACAATATAGAACAAGTTTCAACTGGTCTCTGGCGCCCTCTGGTGAACAATCCACGCTACAACACTGAGACAGTCTTTACAAATAATGACTGACCTTAAAGCTGGGGTACGTAACTTTAAAAACCAACAATAGAACTCTGTAATAAAAAAACATGTTCTAGATCCTGGCTCTGAAACTATGGGACTCTTTGGGCTGAGTGAGACCAGAGAGAGACTAGAGAGGGACCAGAGAGAGATCAGAGAGAGACTAGAAAGAGACTAAGGAGTGGCCAGAGAGAGAGAACGCAGCTGAAGTCACCTGAGTTGTTTGGAATGTGCCCAGAGCGGCTCATCCTGCTCTTCCTCTCCATGGTTTTAAACTCTGTACTTTATCTTTGATCATTAATGTGTGTTTGTCGGAGTGAACACCTGGTCTCCTTCTCCTCCTGGTCTGTGTGTGTTTGTCGGAGTGAACACCTGGTCTCCTGCTCCTCCTGGTCTCTGTGTGTTTCTGGTCGGCTCACACCAGGTACGACAGCTTTAAATCCTCTCATTATTATTATTTCAAAAGTCTGTCCGGAGTTTTTTGTATATATTTGTTTAGAATGTGTAATTTTTTATTTATTTAATGCGATCTACCAATACTACCTTTGCGATCGACTGGTAGATCGCGATCGACGTATTGAGCACCCCTGCTGTAGAGTCTGACTCTGGGTTCACAGGATGCAGCCTCAGCTCTGTCTCCTTCACTTTGGTCCAGATGCTTCAGACCTGCTTCAGACCTGCTTCTCTACAGGTTTTAATGTGTTTAGTAAGAGATGAACCATGAGTAAAAGACTTTCCACACTTTTCACAGACAAATGGTTTCTCTCCAGTGTGGATCCTCTGATGCACTTTGAGAGAACCACTCTGAGAAAAACTCTGACCACAATCGTCGCAGCTGAAGGGTTTCTCTCCAGTGTGGATCCTCTGATGCACTTTGAGAGAACCACTCAGAGAAAAACTCCGACCACAATCGTCGCAGCTGAAGGGTTTCTCTCCAGTGTGGATCCTCTGATGAGCTTTGAGATTACTACTCAGAGAAAAACTCCGACCACAATCGTCGCAGCTGAAGGGTTTCTCTCCAGTGTGGATCCTCTGATGAGCTTTGAGATTACTACTCAGAGAAAAACTCCGACCACAATCGTCGCAGCTGAAGGGTTTCTCTCCAGTGTGGATCCTCTGATGAGCTTTGAGTTTACTACTCAGAGAAAAACTCCGACCACAATCGTCGCAGCTGAAGGGTTTCTCTCCAGTGTGGATCCTCTGATGAGCTTTGAGATCACCACTCTGAGAAAAACTCTGACCACATTTGTCGCAGCTGAAGGGTTTCTCTCCAGTGTGGATTCTTTTGTGCTTGTTAAGACTTCCTCTTTCGTTAAAACATGTTCCACACTGGTCACACTCGTACGGCTTCTCTCCAGTGTGGCTCCGATGGTGAACTGTGCGCTCTGCTGCAGTTTTAAAGGTTTTACTGCAGAAGTCACATGCAAATGGCTTTTCTCCAGTGTGGATTCTCTCATGTGCTTTGTAGCTGGAAGAGTGAGTAAACGTCTTCCCACAGTCTCCACAGACGAATGGTTTATCTCCAGTGTGGATTCTGTAGTGGGCAGTGAGGACAGATAATTGTGTAAAAGTCTTTTCACACTGGTCACATTGGTGAGGTTTCTCTCCTGTGTGGACATGCTGATGTAGTGAGAGCTGACGTTTGGTCCTAAATGTTTTTTCACACTGGTCACACTCAAATGGTTTCTCTCCTGTGTGGATCCTCTGATGACCTTTGAGAGTATTCTCATGTCTAAACTTCTTCCCACAGTCTCCACAGACGAATGGTTTTTCTCCAGTGTGGATTCTGCTGTGGCCCTTGAGACGTTCTTTTGTAGTAAAACATGTTCCACACAGATCACACTCGTATGGTTTTTCTCCAGTGTGAGTTCTGTGGTGTCTCTTTAGATGAGAAGCAGAGCTGCAGGTCTTTCCACACTGATCACAGGTGAACCCCATTCTGTAGATGGACTTTGTAGATCTGCAACAAACACAACAACGTCAGATAATTCTAATATGTTTGATGGTGGTAGAAGTGAGAAATGATATTGTTCTCTTTCAACATCAAACATCGGGTTCTGAAATTAAAGCTGGTTGCTCCGGACCCATGGGCTACACCCCCCACCCTGTATAGGAGCCACTTCTGCAGCCTCAGTCCTGGGTCTACAGCCTCAGTCCTGGGTCTGTCCGTGTGGCTATGAACAGATATAAACTATGACGTCATACAATGAACTTTAGAAACAGAAATAGGGAAATGTACAGTCTGACATAGGGGTGCGCTGGCTGATTAAGGACCACGACGACACATGTAGGATCACTGGTTGACTTTATCTGCAGTTCTGTATTAAAAAAAATAACAAATCCTCATGGTCTCTCCATATCACACGCTCGCAGTCCCCTGTTAGCAGCTAGCTCTCACATGTGACTACATAAACTACCAGTGATGGGCAAGCTACTTGATTTATGCAGTTAGCTAAGCTACTCTACAATAAATTCAGCTTCACTTTACAGAAGCTACCACCCATAAAAATGCAGCAAGCTAAGTTACAAAATTCTGTCAAAAGTAGTTTGCTATATAGAAGCTACTTTCAAGTAAACAAACTGCAGTCTATGCAATTTTAGTGATAAATACTAAACTGTCAGTCAGAAAAAGGTTAAAATTTAGATATTTATAGAATAGCCCAAAACACCAACAACAAAAGACAAGAAGGCCCTTTGCAATTGTAAATACAATAAATTGAGAAATTATAGCAATAAGCCATTACAAATTAACATGTACTTCATTAGAAATGTTTTTTAACTGTTGTTTATAACAATAGCCCAATAAACACGAAACAAATGCGAATCCGAGCCAATTAATGGCTCTATTTAAGCAAGAATACCCTCTGAAACTGAAAAGAAAACACATAAGTTTACAAATGAACTGTGCTAGAACTATGTCTGACCAGTTTATGAAAACAATCGTAACATCCTACAGCCTTATTATCAGTCAGAGGAGCTTTCTCTGGGATTACAGAGTAGGATCTGAAAACATTTCTGTTCGCTCGTCTCCACTAAAGTGACGTGCTTTTGGAGGTATGGCCACGGTGAGGTCTGGACTCCACCGGGCGCGTCTCCGTTGACGCGCGTTGGCTGCTGTCCGTCGGACATCCGTAAAACGGACTAGTGGTCTAAACTTATTGAAAGCAATTGGAAAAATGGGAGAGAAAAGAACTCCAACATATCCAGTGTTGTGAGATCTGTCTCTCATAAGTGCAGTAGCTCTGTGGGTAGTGTGTGTGTGTGTGTGGATGGGAGCGCACGGCGGTGAGGAGAGAGCAAGGGGACACAGCAAGTGTCCAAGGGGACAGAGCAAGTGTCCAAGGGGACAGAGCAAGTGTCCAAGGGGACAGAGCAAGTGTCCAAGGGGACAGAGCAAGTGTCCAAGGGGACAGAGCAAGTGTCCAAGGGGACACAGCAAGTGTCCAAGGGGACAGAGCAAGTGTCCAAGGGGACAGAGCAAGTGTCCAAGGGGACAGAGCAAGTGAAAAAAGAGCGAGTTGTATGTAAAGATTAACATTATGCGAAAGATAAATGGTAGATGTACGATCAGGAAACAATTATTTAAATTAATATATGAAAAAAATTACACATGTTTGTTAATAATCATTGTCATTAACAAACACTTATAACCAGGACTACAGCATATATCAATACATGTTTAATAATGTTGTAAATATATTAATATATATATTATTCATTGTATTTCCAATGGAAAACGGACCCAACATGCGTCGACGGAACAAATAGGATTGTTTCTATTTCGTCCGTCCGCGTCCGTTGCACCCTCCGTTGATGGAATCCGGATGTTGGAGGCAGTGGAGCCACTTCCATTCACCCTCATGGAAATAACGGAGACGGAGATGAAACGGACATGTTTGGACGGATCCGTCGTCCGTATCTCCATGAGGGTGAATGGAAGTGGCTCCACTGCCTCCGCATGCGTCCGTCCAACGCACGTTGGGCGTATTCCGTCAACGGAGGGTGCAACGGACGCGGACGGACGAAATAGAAACAATCCTATTTGTTCCGTCGACGAGTGTCGGGTCCGTTTTCCATTGAAAATACAATGGAATAATAAATTGATATATGTGCAGCCGGTTTGACCACTAGTCTTTTTTATGGACGTCCGACGGACAGCAGCCAACGCGCGTCAGCGGAGACGCGCCCGGTGGAGTCCAGGCCTCAGTTTAAGCCTAGTGTATACTTGCGCAGCGTGGCTTACGTTAGCGGTTGCGGTGGACCTACGTAAGCACAATTGATGTTATACTGGCGCGTTCCCCTTACGGAGTTTTGAGGAGAATGTTGTAATCCCACAACAAACCACATGAGGGCGATCACACAGGAGCGGTCCCATTTACGCTGCTACTTTGTCCTCTTCAGAACAACAATAACAAACAAAGCTGTTTGAGCTCATTACACGTGTTTCTACTGTAGGTTTATGTGATAGTTTTATGGATTCATTATTTTATAAGTCATTTCAACTGTGATGCTGTGAATAAAGACACAGTTCTGTTGGAAACATAGTTATTATTAAATAGTTTTCAGCACAAACAGCAAAACAATAATAGTGGCAAATATCTGAGACAAACATTAACGATTTACGAATGTATATATGTTAGATATAAGTTATATATATATGTTAGATATAAGTTATATATATATGTTAGATATAAGTTATATATATATGTTAGATATAAGTTATATATATGTTAGATATAAGTTATATATATGTTAGATATAAGTTATATATATGTTAGATAGTCCACAGTCTCCTGTATATCAGGCTCTGAGCCCAAACTGCTTTTCCTTCGAAGCACAAAGCTCTCTGCTCCATAGTGCCTCGTCCATGCTCCTGCTGCAGCCGCTCCGTGCTTCCTTCCAATACACACACACGGACCAATCACAGCGGAGCTTCCTTGCGGCGACCTTTTCGTAGTTAGAAAATTTACATTTACACACACACATACATGTATTGTACACACACATATACATGTATTGTACACACACATATACATGTATTGTACACACACAAATACCGGTCTGTCGCGCTCCTCTGTGTCACACAGCCCAAAGAATTCTCGCAAATGCACGGCTCCAGTCAAACCACATGGACCATGTTTGTGCTGCTGGTCCTTGTCAAACCACATGGACCATGTTTGTGCTGCTGGTCCTTGTCAAACCACATGGACCATGTTTGTGCTGCTGGTCCTTGTCAAACCACATGGACCATGTTTGTGCTGCTGGTCCTTGTCAAACCACATGGACCATGTTTGTGCTGCTGGTCCTTGTCATTAGATCAGCTCCACACACATCACTTGTTCTGGCTCCTTTTGAGCCAATGATTTATTTTTTGTATGTAAATAGTTTTATTTTGAAGTGACTTCCTGGCTAGCCGGAAGTAGAAAAACAGTTATAACTAACTAATAAATTCCAGTTATCAAACATGATTCAGCTCCAGTGGTAGATCACACTGAGGTGATTGAGCCAGCACAGCCTGTGAGTTTGTTTAGTTTGTGTGTTATCATTGAGTAAGTTTACCTGTTGTATTTTCCCTTGTGTGTTATTCTGGGGATGTGTTTAATTAGTTCCAAATGCTAGCCTCGAATGCTAGCGCAGTATTCTAGCGCAGCTAATGTGCTGCTGTTAGCATTAGCATTGGCCTCGTATTTTTTCAGAGGCACCTTGACAGTGTTATATGTTGTATTGTATTTTGTATTTTTTTATTTGTTGCAGTTTTACCATTCTTACAATGATAAAAGCCTGGAAAAGCAAACACCGGTGTCGTCATTGTTCCGGTTATCTGTCTGCCTAGATTAAGTTTATCGGGGGCAGAACATCACTTTTGATGCTCGCTGCTCTGACCATGTGAACGAACCGTCTTTTGCTTAAAAATGCTTGAACCCGCAGCACAGCAGAATGGGAAGATTAAAAAAGCAGTTCTCTGTGCGCAATGGTGCCGAAGCTGTTGTGGGTTTTGGCGCCGCTGTCTTGGCTCTGATCCAGTAGAACGCAGAGCTGCACTTATGAAAAGTACGCGGCTCGAAATGGCTGTTATTTCAAAGAACGTGGAATATTTTAAACTACGCGATTAAACCGGTTTCAACCGGTTAATGAGGCTCGGTGGTCGGCGAAAATTCATAGTTTTTTACATCCCACAGTCATTATGACTGTTTTTAACATTCAGCAGTCATTATGGCTGTTTTAAACATTCAGCAGTCATTATGACTGTTTTAATCATTCAGCAGTCATTATGACTGTTTTAATCATTCAGCAGTCATTATGACTGTTTTAAACATTCAGCAGTCATTATGACTGTTTCAAACATTCAGCAGTCATTATGACTGTTTTTAACATTCAGCAGTCATTATGGCTGTTTTTAACATTCAGCAGTCATTATGGCTGTTTTAAACATTCAGCAGTCATTATGACTGTTTTAATCATTCAGCAGTCATTATGACTGTTTTAATCATTCAGCAGTCATTATGACTGTTTTAAACATTCAGCAGTCATTATGACTGTTTTAAACATTCAGCAGTCATTATGACTGTTTTAAACATTCAGCAGTCATTATGACTGTTTTAAACATTCAGCAGTCATTTTGACTGTTTTAAACATTCAGCAGTCATTATGACTGTTTCAAACATTCAGCAGTCATTATGGCTGTTTTTAACATTCAGCAGTCATTATGGCTGTTTTAAACATTCAGCAGTCATTATGACTGTTTTAATCATTCAGCAGTCATTATGACTGTTTTAATCATTCAGCAGTCATTATGACTGTTTTAAACATTCAGCAGTCATTATGACTGTTTTAAACATTCAGCAGTCATTATGACTGTTTTAACATTCAGCAGTCATTATAACTGTTTTAAACATTCAGCAGTCATTATGACTGTTTTAAACATTCAGCAGTCATTATGACTGTTTTAAACATTCAGCAGTCATTATGACTGTTTTAAACATTCAGCAGTCATTATGACTGTTTTAAACATTCAGCAGTCATTATGACTGTTTTAAACATTCAGCAGTCATTATGACTGTTTTAAACATTCAGCAGTCATGACTGTTTTAAACATTCTGCAGTCATGACTGTTTTAACATTCAGCAGTCATTATGACTGTTTTAAACATTCAGCAGTCATTAAGACTGTTTTAAACATTCTGCAGTCATGACTGTTTTAAACATTCTGCAGTCATGACTGTTTTATACATTCAGCAGTCATTATGACTGTTTTATACATTCCGCAGTCATTTTGACTGTTTTATACATTCAGCAGTCATTATGACTGTTTTAAACATTCATCAGTCATTATGACTGTTTTAATCATTCAGCAGTCATTATGACTGTTTTAATTATTCAGCAGTCATTATGACTGTTTTAAACCTATGAACATTCAGCAGTCATTATGACTGTTTTAAACCTATGAACATTCAGCAGTCATTATGACTGTTTTAATCATTCAGCAGTCATTATGACTGTTTTAATTATTCAGCAGTCATTATGACTGTTTAAAACATTCATCAGTCATTATGACTGTTTTAATCATTCAGCAGTCATTATGACTGTTTTAATTATTCAGCAGTCATTATGACTGTTTTAAACCTATGAACATTCAGCAGTCATTGACTGTTTTAAACCTATATTATATATATATATATATATTAGATATACGTTATATATACGTTATCTATATGTTAGATACAAGTTATATATGTGTTAGGTATAAGTTATATATGTTAGGTATAAGTTATATATATGTTAGATATAAGTTATATATATGTTAGATATAAGTTATATATATGTTAGATATAAGTTATATATATGTTAGATATAAGTTATATATATGTTAGATATAAGTTATATATATGTTAGATATAAGTTATATATATGTTAGATATAAGTTATATATATGTTAGATATAAGTTAGATATAAGTGAGCAACTTGCCCCCGTTTTAACCGACATTTTTAACCTGTCGCTAAGGAACTGTACTGTGCCGAACTGCTTTAAAGAGTCGACCATCATTCCAGTTCCTAAGAAAACTCCTGTGACATGCCTTAATGACTATCGCCCTGTGGCCCTCACTTCTGTCCTAATGAAGACTTTGGAGCGGCTTGTGTTGGACTTCATTAAGAGCCAGTTCCCTGTGAGTGTTGACCCGCTCCAGTTTGCTACAGACAGAACAGGAGTGTGGAGGATGCCATCTCCTTTGCTCTGAACTCTGTCTACAGTCACTTGGACACTAGTAAATCTGTTGCAAGAATGCTGTTCATTGATTATAGCTCTGCTTTTAATTGTCTTGTCCCAGGTAAACTGATTGAAAAGCTCATGTCTCTCGGTTTAAGTGTTGCCATGTGTAAATGGATCTATAGCTTTTTAACTGACAGATCTCAGAGAGTGAAAATCAATGACTGTTTTTCTGATGTTGTTTCTGTGAGCACTGGATCTCCTCAGGGATGTATTTTGAGTCCTTTACTTTTTACACTGTACACTCATGATTGTGTGTCTTCCTCAGACTCTAACCTGATCCTTAAATATGCTGATGACACCACCATCATCGGTCTCATCAGTAATAATGATGAATCGTCTTATAGAGCCGAGATCCAAAACGTGGTTCAGTGGAGTAAGGCTAACAACCTCCAGCTGAACGCATCCAAAACATGTGAACTGGTCTTTGATTTTAGTCGCAATAGTTCTCATTTGCCTGTCGCAATCGATAACCAAGTGCAGATTGTAGAGGAGTGTAAGTTTCTGGGTCTAACTCTGTCTAACCTGAAATGGGTTAAAAACACTGACCGGGTCGTAAAGAAAGCTCGTCAGCGTCTCTACTTCCTGCGAAAACTTAGAGAATTTACCACTAACTCTAAGATTCTGCTGAACTTTTATCGCTGCACCATTGAGAGTTTACTTGTTGGTTCTGTGTCTGTGTGGTTCGGTAACATCACAGATAAAGAAAAGAGAGCTTTAAACAAGGTGCTCCGCTCTGCTAAGAGGACCGTGGGCTGTGAACTTCCTGTCCTGGAGGCTCTTTATCAATCCAGACTTTTTAACAGTGCCCTGAGAATTATCAATGACTCTTCTGGCCACCCAGGAAAAGCCTTGTTCCAGCTTCTTCCCTCTGGCAGAAGATACTGTTCTCTGAGATGCAGGACATCTCGTTATGCTAATAGTTTTTTTCCACGAGCTGTTATCAGTTTGAATAGAGCACTTTAATGTTTTTGCACTTGTATAGATCTGTTTTAGTTGGTCAACTTCACAGTGACATTTGTTTACTGTTTTTAAAATTTGTTTTATTTTTGTCTTTTAATGTTGTTTTATGTCTGTACTTGTCCTGTGCACACTGGGAACTTTTACTAATGTATTCCAATGTAGTGTTACTGCAAATGGCGAATAAAATGAATCTGAATGAATCTGAATCATATATATGTTAGATAGTCCACTGTCTCCTGTATATCAGGCTCTGAGCCCAAACTGCTTTTCCTTCGAAGCACAAAGCTCTCTGCTCCATAGTGCCTCGTCCATGCTCCTGCTGCAGCCGCTCCGTGCTTCCTTCCAATACACACACACGGACCAATCACAGCGGAGATTCCTTGCGGCGACCTTTACGTAGTTAAAAAATGTCGATGCTGCGCGGCAGGCGACGTAAGGGCCTTGCGGTGACCAACGCGTTGCGCAAGTGACGTCACGTCACCTCCGTAAGCTCCGCGCGAGTATAAACTAGGCTTAAGGCGCCAGATTTACGCCAAAAGTCCACACGCGCAATTAAAACATACACGCGCAGCTTTATGTAATTCACACGCGCGTAAACTACTCTCCACGCGCACATTTCACACCACACGTGCGCAGACTCAGTACAAGCCACAATACGCGCGTGTGTGCGCTCGTGACCTGCCCTCTCCCTTCTCGTGGTCTGTGTTCTGCGTTGAACACTTTTGCCGTCTCTTCTACGCGCGTGAAATACTTTTGTCGCTTGGGGGCGGGGCCAGTGAAAGGTAAACAGCCCACTGCAGCTTGGGGGCGGGGCCAGTGAAAGGTAAACAGCCCACTGCAGCTTGGGGGCGGGGCCAGTGAAAGGTAAACAGCCCACTGCAGCTTGGGGGCGGGGCCAGTGAAAGGTAAACAGCACACTGCAGCTTGGGGGCGGGGCCAGTGAAAGGTAAACAGCCCACTGCAGCTTGGGGGCGGGGCCAGTGAAAGGTAAACAGCCCACTGCAGCTTGGAGATGGAAAGCATATGATTAATCCATAGACTGTATATCTTTTTTCTAACCCTAACTGGGCTATTGTAGTCTTTAACGTGGCATGTACACTGTTGTGGACACCCTATAGGCTTACACCAGGACGTGTTTAGTTCGTAAATGTTTAATATTCTCTCCTAATAACGTCATCAGCCTATGTTGCCGCAAGGCTAGCCAGGTACATCCCGGGACCTTTGTCATCGCTGTACGTTGTTTACACTGAATGCTTTGTCAGGATCATGTCAGGACCGTTATCAAAGTTTAATAAAACTGTCTCAGAGTTATTTGTTTGCTTTTTATTTGCATAATTATAGCGGTTTGGCCTAATGAGTCTATGCTAACTAGCAATAAATCTGTCAGTCCATAAACCCAAATATCAAAAATGTGTATACAAAGTTTTGAAACAAATGAGCTAAATATCTAAATTGTTAACATTGCTAAATAGTAGTAAACTTCATTTGATTTCATGTATTTTTATTCAAATGAACTTAAAATTGGGGCTAAGCTGTTTCAACCTGTCATAATTGGCTTCTGTACCTGTATTGTGTTTGCTAGTTTAGGATGGCTATCATCTCTACACACTACACAGAACCCCTGAATAGTTCTGATGGTGCAGGTTATCTTCATGGTCCTCTGCGATGGGCACCAGTTCCTGATCCACACACACTGCAGACCGGCAAGATGTAAAACATCATTTGGTCAGACTTCGTTTGCAGTCGAAGAGCCACAGCTCTGGAACATTTTACCTGCTGAACTGAAATCTCTAATATTTTTATGCCTTAGCGACTGCCAATTATCTGTTTTCTATACGGCCTATGAACATGGCATTGGTTACCTGTAACAATACTTTTTGTTCTGTGCCTGTCAAATAAACATATAATAATAATACTATTCTCACAGAACAGTGGGTTGTAGATAGGAGAAAATGGCCATCAGTTACCTGGCCTAATATCTATAATCACCTCACTCAGGCCCCCAGTGTCTATACAAAAGAGAACCTAAATCATATAAATCTATAGATGCAGACAATTATGTGTTATGTAAAGAATGTGAAATACTTACCCTGAACTGTTCTTGTATGGCAGGGTATGGACTTGTAACGGGTGTGGGCACCGTTGTAACTTGTTTGTATTGTTCAATTACAGTCTTGACCTGGTGCACACCCGTTAACCCCTTTATTAGTGTAATCTGCGTTGTGTTCCATGTTCTGCGCTGTCTGAAGAAGGACCATGACACAAGGAGGATCACTGGATGACTTTTACTAGTAGCTCTGCACAAAAGAAAAGAAAACACAAATACACATCACGTCTCTCCATGCATTCAGCTCAGCAGTCCTCTCCACAGATGCAAGGCACAGACTATGGTTCTCCTGATAAAGGAAAAAAGCAACATTAGCTTAGTTATTATTGCCTTTTTAGTGGTATACAGGTTGATCACTGTTCTCCAGTTGTTGTAATCAAGGAAAAACACCACACACTTCGTGGTTTTAGAGCTGAATACTTTAGCACTAAAGTATTTATGTGCTTTTGTTGTGACTAGAAGGCTACACAGGCTAAATCATGAACAGCTGTTTCTCCTCAGACTAAAACGAAGGAGCCTCCTTAGCTAACTTAGCAAAACAGCTAAAATGCCAACTGCCGGTTAGCATTTTAGCTGTTTGAGCTTGCTTTAACTTGACTGAACTAACTTGAACTACATCTAGTGACATCATGTAACCTAGTGATTACTTATGGATTGGACTTTTTGATTATTAGATAATGTAGGACACAAACACAGTGTGTTCCAGTGTTCTTCCTTCTTTAGCCACTCAGCTATGCACATACAACTTGCCTGTGACGTGGCCCAGAAACCCAGTGTTTACCAAGCCCCGGCGATCCAAGATGGCGCCCTATTCAAATGAATGTTTGTGCTCAGTGGCGCTTTGTGACGGCATGGGGGCTGAAAGATTAGCGGAAGTTGCCTGAAACTCGCAAAGATCTATGGGAAACTCGCCTGTATTTGGGCATCGTCTGGTCCTCCCGGTTCTGTGCAGTGGATGATCTCCCATAATGCGTTGCGCCAAACACTCGTGTGTGGGTCTCACACCGGGTCTCACGCACGTGCACAGAGGGGCTCGGCCGCGCTCTGACCAATCAGAGCAGTTCATCAGAGCGGGAGTTAGAGCGAGAGCCAGAGGAGCAGAGTTTGTGGCACTAAAGTGTGGATTTAAACAACACCGAAGGATTTAAGAAGAAATAAAGTTCAGGATGACAAGGGACACTAAAATCCCCACAAAATCCGATCTTTATGAAAGCTGTAGGTTCTCTGTCAGCTGAGGTTGAGCTGTTTTAATATGCATTGAGTTCTATGGGGAAAATTTCTGGGTAGCCCACGTGAATTTAGTCTGGTTCAGTCTGCAGTACCGCGAGAATCCCCTGAGCACATGAGTTATTCAGCTACAAGCTAGTAATACCCTATCCAGTTATTATAATACATCCATGGTGTTTACCTTTCACTGGCCCCGCCCCCAAGCGACAAAAGTATTTCACGCGCGTAGAAGAGATGGCAAAAGTGTTCAACGCAGAACACAGACCACGAGAAGGGAGAGGGCAGGTCACGAGCGCACACACGCGCGTATTGTTGCTCGTGGTACTGAGTCTGCGCGCGTGTGGTGTGAAATGTGCGCGTGGAGAGTAGTTTGCGCGCGTGTGAATTACATAAAGCTGCGCGTGTATGTGTTATTTGAGCGTGTGGACTTTTGGCGTAAATCTGGCGCCATATAGGCTTTAGTCCTCCGAGACCGCGGCTCCTGCCGTCCTGTCTCCCTCCAACAGCGCGCGCAAGTGTGTGCGTGCGTATGAGTGTGTGCGTGCGTATGAGTGTGTGCGTGCGTGTACGCGAGTGTATGCGTCGTCACTAAGGCCTGCACACTTAAACATTCCGTCTTCCTACTTTGTTTTTGGCAGCGGTAAAATGCTGTAGTATATGAACATCAGAAATGTCCGTGAGAAAACAGCTTTGGAGGACCCTACCGCGCTACTTGCTCAAAAAAATAGCTTAGCTACAGAAAAGTTACTTGGATTTGTAAATAGTGACGCTACTCTCAAGCTACTGAAAAACGTAGCGAGTTAAGCTAGTAGCGTCGCTACTGCCCATCACTGTAAACTACAGACTTAAAACATGGATTCAAAAGGCTCTGACTTGTACATTTGCATTTGTAACAACATAAATAACATTTTAATTTGGATATTCAAAGTTTTCTAATTATTAAAACCGAAATCATGCAGAGTGTAAAAACGTGACCCACCCTTCAGACGCTAGACAAAGACTGAGCGAGGCGCATGCGCAGACTGATCTTCTTCTTCTTGTTGCAGTATTATTGGCGGGTGGCACTCAACTTTAAAGGTGCATTTCCGCCACCTACTGTACTGGAGTGTGAACCAGAGTTACTCTACTAACGTGTGTGTGTGTGCGTATGTATACACATACGCACACACACACACACACACACCTATATATACACATATATCTATACCCACATACACCTACCCATATACACGCATATATCTACCTACTCACACATACACCCATGAACTACACTCTCCCTATAAGTCCTGCATCCTTTAAATATGCTATGATCTTTTTCACCTTCACTTTTGTTAAAATATTTTTCATTGTGACCTCCAACCCTCGCTCTTGAATATCTTGTTTTATCGTTTGCCTGAACCTCTCATACCTATTACAATTAATCAATACATGCTCTACTGACTCTGTCTCATTACACTGTGAACAAAATCCTGTCTCATGTCTATTGATTATGTGTAACGACTTATTCAAACCTGTATGCCCAATTCTCAGTCTAGTCATTATCCTCTGTACCTTGCTACTTCCTAATGCACACCACCCATCACCCACTATGCTTTGTAACTCATAGAGATGCCTCCCAGTTGTTTCCACATTCCACTCTACTTGCCACTCATCCTTAACACTACGTTTAATGATTGACTTTGCCTCTTGTTTACTGATCGCCACTTCCATAATATACTCATTAGAAGTCAGTGCCTGCTTTGCTAGTCGGTCTGCTTCCTCATTGCCACGTATCCCCTTACGTGCTGGAATCCATAAAAACACAATTTTATAGCCTCTTCCATGGAGCCTATACAAGCTCTCATATATCTCATTTACTATATCCTGTCTGCTGTCAGATTTAAAATTCTGTATAGCTACTAATGCAGAGCTTGAATCAGAGCATATCACTACTTCTTTCACAGGCGATCCTTCCACCCACTCTAAAGCTGATGAAATTGCTAACATTTCTGTCGTAAACACTGCCAAGTCATCTGTAATCTCCTTTTAAAAACTACTTTTAGACCCGGGATTGTTATGATCAGTAGATTACTGGAGGTTACCACAAGGTGGCGTTGTTGATATGCATGACGTTAGGCAGACAGTGCTGTAATGACCTCGAGATGAACATGATTAAAAGTAGCTCCCTGTACAACTCGTTTGGATTATTAAAACACAAACACAACATGGTACCAGGAGTAAACTAAGTAGCTGAGAAGCCGCCGGAGAAGTCGACATGGATTTGAAACCGCCAGAAAAGTTGAAGTTGACGGGAAATGTGGACGAAAATTGGCGAAGCTTCAAGCAGCAGTTTAGCCTCTATGTCACCGCGATGGGACTGGAAACCAAGCCTGACACGAGGAAGGTAGCGCTTTTGCTAACATTAGCAGGGCCGCACGCCATTGAAGTGTACAATACGTTCGTCTTTGATGCACAGGGAGACAATGAAAAACTGGATGTGGTGCTCGCTAAGTTTGAAGCTCACTGTACTCCAAAGAAAAACGAGACAAATGAAAGATATATGTTTAGGTCTCGTGTGCAGTGTCAAAATGAGCCTTTTGACAGTTTTCTGACCGCACTACGGCTAAAGGCGCAGTCGTGTGGTTTTGGGCCATTGAAAGACTCACTTGTGAGGGATCAAATCGTTTTTGGCGTTGAAGACAAAAAGTTAAGAGAAAGACTTCTTCGCGAGACGGATTTGACACTCGAGGCTGCCATTAAGATTTGCCAAGCAAGTGAACTGTCACAAAAGCATATAAAATCCTTCAGTGAGATGCCCACCGTAGCACCTGTGAGTGACGGAGCGGTGGTCGGTGCAGTATCGAGAGGACGCCGCCAGCAGTGCACAGCACAGCGGACCGAGGACGTCACGTTCTTCTGCAAGCGCTGCGCGACTCAACACAAGCCAAGGCAATGTCCCGCTTTTGGTAAAGTGTGCTCTTACTGCCACGGGAAGAATCATTTTGCCAAGCAATGTTTCTCCAAAAAGAAAGAGGGAAAAAGGGGCAAGAATGTAAACGTGGTGGACGATGCTGACACAGATCTAAGTGATACGTTCTTTGTGGGTATGGTAAATATGGAAAATGTGAACAGTGTTGCAGATAAATGGGTGGCTCCTCTGCAAATAAATGGAGCTATAATAACAATGAGACTGGACACTGGTGCAAAAGCTAATCTGATTAGTATGTCTGATATTAGAGAAATGCAGAGAAAGCCACATTTGTATGTGAAGAAAGCAGCTCTGAAAGACTACAATGGAAAAGTAATAGAGTGTTTCGGCTCATGCAAATTGAATGTAACTGTAAAAGGTAAAGTACACAATGTGATATTTTCAGTGGTTAATGAAAAATGTGAATCACTGTTAGGAGATAAATCATGTGAACAGTTAGGGCTGGTAAAGAGAGTGTACTGCATTGATAAAAGTTCCAAATCTGAAACAGATCAAATAGTAAAGCAGTATTCAGATGTGTTCAAATGGTTTGGTACACTGCCCTTTACATATAAAATACAGCTAAAAGAAGGAGCACAGCCAGTTGTACATGCACCTCGCAGGGTTCCCGCCCCACTGCGTGATTCTCTTAAAAAAGAACTTGACAGAATGACCAATTTAGGGGTTATTAAAAAGGTTCAGGAACCTACAGATTGGGTCAACTCAATGGTAGTCACAAAGAAAAAGAATGGCGAGTTGAGAACATGTATGGATCCAAAAGACTTAAATGAGAACATAAAGCGGGAGTATTACCAAATACCAACACGTGAGGAAATAATCAGTGAAATGGCAGGAGCAAGCTATTTTACTAAACTTGATGCATCTCAAGGCTTTTGGCAGTTGCAATTGGATGAGGACAGCACAAAGTACTGTACCTTTAATACACCCTTTGGGAGGTATTGTTTTCTGAGACTTCCATTTGGAATAAAGTCAGCTCCAGAAATATTCCACAGAGCAATGGAACAAATCATTGAAGGCTTAAACGGAGTCCGAGTCTATATAGATGACATTATAATATGGGGTTCGACTCTCCAGGAGCACAATCAAAGATTAAACAAAGTGATGGAGCGTATTCAACAGTTTGGCCTCAAGCTAAACCGAGCCAAGTGTGAGTTTGCAGTGCAGGAAATTGTTTTCCTCGGAGATAAACTCACAGCAAAAGGTGTGCAACCTGACCAGGACAAGATAACAGCAATCCTGAATATGCCAAGACCAACGGATAAGACAGGAGTTTTGCGCATTATGGGAATGGTCAATTTCATAGGCAAGTTTATTCCCAACCTCACAGCGAAGACGTCCTGCATTCGAGAACTTTTGCACAAAGACTGTGACTTTGAATGGTCAACCAAACATGAGCTGGAGTTAAAAAGGTTAAAGGAGACACTTACCACAGCTCCAGTCTTGGCTTACTATGACCATACCAAAAAGCTGAAAGTATCTACAGACGCATCCAAAGATGGTATTGGAGCGGTACTTTTGCAAGATGAGGAAGGACACTGGAAACCAGTGGCTTATGCGTCGCGAGCCATGACAAAAGCAGAATGCAGATACGCTCAGATTGAAAAAGAGTGTTTGGGTCTGGCTTTTGGACTGGAGCGGTTCCATTCTTACATTTATGGACTGTCGTCTTTTACAGTGGAAACCGATCACCGTCCACTGGTCTCAATAATTAAAAAGAATCTGAATGAGATGACGCCACGGATTCAGCGCTTGATGATGAAAATGCAAAGATATGACTTTGAGCTAATCTACACGCCTGGAAAACATTTGGTGCTTGCAGATGCACTGTCCAGAGCGCCAGTAGAACACTGTGTGAGTAGCACAGATGAAGATGTTGAAAGCCATGTAAAGTTTATATCGAGTGTGTTGCCCCTGACAGATACAAAATCACAACAAATAGCTAAAGCAACGTTGGTGGATACAGAACTACAGCGTGTCATTCAGAACATGGATGAGGGATGGCCAGCAGGATCATGTCCTCACTTTTACCATGTCAGAGGAAATCTCAGCTTTGTTGATGGACTATTGTTGAAAGAAGGAAGAATAGTTATCCCACAAGCTTTGAGATCAGATGTGCTAAACAGGATACACGAAGGACATCTCGGTATTGAGAAATGTAAAAGGAGAGCGAGAGAGTCTGTGTACTGGCCTGGACTAAACAAAGATATTGAGAAACTTGTGAGCAGATGTGAAATATGCCAGAGACATCAGAGTAAACAGTGTAAAGAACCAATGATGATACCTGAGCAGCCTACATCACCATGGCACAAAGTAGGAATGGACTTGTTTCACTTAAAGGGCAAGGACTATCTTGTAGTCATTGACTGTTTCTCAAACTTTCCCGAAATGGCACTACTCGCAAACACATCATCCGCATGTGTGATCACTCATATTAAATCCATATTTGCAAGGCATGGGCTACCACACATGGTAGTGAGTGATAATGGGCCGTGTTTCAGTAGCAAGGAATTTAAGGCGTTTGCTGAACATTATGAGTTCAGTCATGTGACCTCAAGTCCACATTATGCACAGTCAAATGGACAAGCTGAGAAAGGTGTCCATATATTAAAGCAGCTGTTAAAGAAGGCATTGGACAGCAATTCTGATCCATATTTGGCACTTCTCAGTTATCGTGCATCTCCACTGGAGTGTGGCCTGTCACCAGCTGAACTATTGATGAATAGAAAGCTGCGTACTACTCTTCCTACCTATATGAGTAAAGCTCATAAGAAACCATCAAAACGTGACTACAGAGTCACAAAGAAACAGAAACAAAAGACTTTCTATGATGTTTCAGCCAAACCACTTTCTCCTCTGTTGTGCAATGACTCAGTTAGGATTGAAGATGCAAATGGTTGGAACACAAAAGGAGTTGTATTGCAGGAAGTTGCTCCACGATCATTCACAGTGCGGACTGAGGATGGACAGGTGTTTCGACGCAATCGTCGCAGTCTCCTGAAGACTCCACCACCAGCATGTGAGTCCAGTGATGCTCACCCAGAACCATCTGTTACACCCTCTGTGAACAATAGTACAAGCACTGCGGAGCAACACGAACTCAGAAGGTCCACACGGGAAATAAAGAAACCTGACCGACTGAACTTATAAAGTTATGGTTATAAATTATTCAGGATGTTAATATTGAGTGTTATTTTGGTTTCAAATATCTTGTTGGTCTCAATATTGTGTTGTTTTACGATGTTGTATTTGTATACTAGATAGAGGTAGCAACAAGAAAAATGTTGTGCTACATAGATTTTATTTGTTACTGTTAATTTTAAAGCACATTGTTCATCTTCAAAGAAAGGGGGATGTTATGATCAGTAGATTACTGGAGGTTACCACAAGGTGGCGTTGTTGATATGCATGACGTTATGCAGACAGTGCTGTAATGACCTCGGGATGAACATGATTAAAAGTAGCTCCCTGTACAACTCGTTTGGATTATTAAAACACGAACACAACAAACAGCACATCAGGATTGTTGTTGTTTGTTTGTTTGATGAAGACAATGCACATTAATAAACAATAAATGATTTGAAAGATTCCTCAGTTTCTGTTGAATTCAGGGTTCAGAGCTTTAAACGACTCAAATGCATGTACAGTGATGATTGGACTTTTTTTGTGAAGTGCATGAGTTGTGCTTTACAAATAAACTTGCCTAAAAATAAAAAATAAAAAAAATAAAAATATAAAAAATAAAATAATTAAAATAAATAATAAATAAAAATAGTAATAATAAATAAAATAAATACAAAATAAAAAATAAATACAAAAAATAAGTCCTCTTCCCACAAGCATCTCAAGCATACACTTTTAATGCACAACATCCCAAACCTGTTTTTAATGCACCACAGTCACACAGTAACAGTAACCGCTCTACCACCTCGCTCCCATCTCTGTGCGGAGTGAGAAGACTAATGCTCAGAACTGAAAAACTACTTTGTGACTCTGGCCTGGATGAAGATTCCTTCTTTCTTACCAAAAACATTGATATGCCTAGTTATGGCTCTGCTGCCCTCTTCCCCCAGCACCTCAACTCCTCTCATGTTATTACTATTATTATTATTACTATTCTCTTTCTTTTCTTTCTCCCTCGATCTCTCACTACCGGTCAATAGAACACCTTCAACACCCTCAGATAGATTCAATACACCCAAAGTGAACACACACACACACACACATACACGTTTGTGTTACCTGGTGGGTCCCTTTGACAGGGCCGTTCAGAATGGGACCCATAGACATAATCTTTTTTTACTGGGACTACTTTAAGTAATACAAAACAGTCAATAGAAACCAAACAACTCTTTTAAAGGAATTTTATTTTAGATTTTTTTTTCGAATTGCAGTGATTCTATTTTTGACATAGAATTTAATGCCACTCCATGTCCGATGTCTAAGGTCATCTGGTGAGGCATTAATGCAGGCCAGGCCAGGCCAGGCCAGGCAGTGAGACTTCCCAGGGACTTTTCCAGTCTGTATGAAAGGCGTCATGGTCTTCTCCACAGCCTTCACCTCAGATGCAGACCATGGCTTTCTCTAACGTTCTAGGGAGAGAAATAAAAATATATTAGCAATATACACTCCCAGGGTTAGGACCAAGCAGCCTGGCTGTAATCCCCCACCTGGTACACTTACCAGAAGGGGCACTGCCACTACCATGGGGTGCATCTGGATGAATGGTTGAAGGGTTCTCCGCTTGAAGTTTCTTTTAGCCCGTCCGTTTGTGAGAGGATCTCTACTGCTCTCCCTGTCGCACAGAAAATAAAAATACAAGTGGCCTTTAGGGGAAAAAAATCATACATATTTTAATAATATCAAGAATTACCTTCAGGCTCAATTTGTATCTGGTCGAGGCTCTTTCCTTCGAATTCCGTCACTCTTCCCTGCTCCATGGCCATCAACACTTTGCTGATTTTGGCCAGCTCCAGTGTCCCCTCTGGTAGTCTGTAATATTGTCTGTGGATGCGAATGTCATGGCCGAGGAAGTTGGCTATGTCCATTTCATTCTCTTTCATATTGAGAACTGTAGACATAGTAGCTATGTGCTTTCTAAGTTTGGTTGAGGATAGCATCTCTGGATGCACCGCACCACATTCTTTGGCTACCTGGCGTAGGGAGTCTGATCCCCTGATGTGGGTGTCTGCGCCCGGGCGGGAGAAGAAGTATGGGTTATGGTCAGAGATGGAACAGGCCCTTCTGTTCTCCACCAGCACCTCCATCGAAGCATTCATTTCAGGAGTCAAAAGAACCGGCACTTTCCGACTTCTTTTCCCTTTAATTTCAATGCGTTGAAAATGCTGACACAGCTTTTTCTCAAGTTGGGACAGTCCCAGAGCAATGTCAGAATGGATCCCAGTCTTACTTCTTAAGGTAAAGGCTGTCAGTGGCATCTTTGAAACCTCACCTTCCCTTCTTCGATTGAAAATAATGACCTCACAAAGAGTCAAAACTGCCAGTTTAGACCAATGCTTAGACGTTGGCTCACTTATTAGGGTTTGCACATATTCAGGTCGACATACCTCAATATGTGCATGCATGGCTCTAACGTCCTCAGTCAGAGGGAGCAGGTCCGGAGTGTTCCACTTGGCTTGCCGGAGGGTCTGTAGGGCAGCAGAAGAAACACAGACGTCCCACCTCTTCTCAAAAAGCAGCCGGCTTCGTTGGAGGTTTTTAATAAATAGTTCATCAACACAATGCTCCATTTTTGAGTCACATTCAAGAATATCTGCTTTCTGAGGCTATGGCCGAGTTTGAGGGCCAAGGATGGAGTCTTGTATTGATTTGTTTCCTCATCATATCCAGCCACAGACCTGACCTGCATCAATCACATGGTTAAAGTTGGAAGGAATAAAGAAATCCTTAATTGTTTTCAGTTTCCCTGCAGTTTTTGCTTCGTTAATTAACCTACCGACTTCTCTCATTTTCTGCCTAATGTAATCATGCTTAGTCTTATCATGCCCGTGTTTTAAGTACAGGTGCTCTCCGAGTCTCAGAATCCCCTTTTCTGCTTTGACAACACCCGTGACCTCATCCTGATGCATTGCCGAAATTAAAGACCACAGCTTTTTGCTGATGCCCTCCGGTACAGGCTGGGCTAGGGAGCAGAGGGACTGGACCCTACTTCTACCTGGTTTAGCCTGGTTTAGCCTGGGCATCTTTCTGTGAAAGCCGGCACCTGGCCACATGCCTCCACAGCGACTTTCGCTTAAGCAATGCCCCACAGTCTATACAGGTGCAAAAACTCACTGGATTTAACTGGGCAATTTGGCTGTTTAGCTGGGACTAAAGTTCCAATGCCGGCCTTTAAAACCTCAAAATTGTGCTCACGGTTTCCACTATTCCTGATCAAATCAAACTGAAGTTTACATGCTTTAGATTTCACAGGTAGAGCCAATGCTCTGGCTACGTCACTTTCATTTCCATGTTTTCTAGTCAAATGACGGGACATTTTGTGGCAGGACATTGAACAGTAGAGGCAGAAGTGTCTCTTGCTGTAAACTCTGCCCCCATTTTTCTTCTTTTGCAGCTGCATGATAACAATCTTATTTGCCTTTGGTTCGTCACTTTCCGAGTCTTGAAGAAAAGTGTTTTTGATTTTTCTTTTTCCATACTTTTTTACAGGTTTCTTCTTGACAGTTAAATCGTCAGAATCTGAGTCGACTTCATCAATTAGGGACTCTTGACTAAGCTGCACAAACAACAAATAATTTGTAATCATTCTATATAACAATTTGAAGTCATGACTTGTAGTCAGCACTTACCAGTGGGTTGTAAGCGTGCGCTTCAGTGTGCTCCTCTGTGATTGGCTGCAGCCTAATGAACCACACACTTGCACCTTTTTCTAGCCTGACACCTGATTTCCTCTGTTGTGCTGCTCCATGATTGGCTCCAGCCTGCTGGACTGAAATTGCCCCAGTGTGCCCCTCCTTGATATCCCGCAACCCACCACCAGGGTCCCGACACATAACACACTTTTTTCAGGAAAGTAAACCTCCAGGGGTCCTTTCCATATTTTTACAGAGACTGCATAAGGACCGTTAGAAAAGCATTACCCATTGATTATTAAGCTTGGACCAGTGGGGTCCGGTGTTCCGGCCCCACCACGTAAAACCAGTCCCCATGACGTGAATGGAATCTCAGGTTATGGAACCCACCAGGAGTTGAAAACAAGTGCACACACACACACACACACACACACACACACACACACACACACACACACACACACTCGCGCACGCTGAATCCCCCCTGTCCCCCCTCCTGACCCAATGTAAATGCTTAAATGTTCATGTAGGTTCATATGTACAAATGGGTCTATAATGTCTGTGCTGTAATATATGGTATATGCCAATAAATAAAAACCAAATAAACTTGCCTGTGTCTGTGGTGGATCTGAGGAGAGCGCCCCCTGCTGGACTGGGGTCTGAAGGTTCCTCTGTGTCTGTGGTGGATCTGAGGAGAGCGCCCCCTGCTGGACTGTGGTCTGAAGGTTCCTCTGTGTCTGTGGTGGATCTGAGGAGAGCGCCCCCTGCTGGACTGAGGTCTGAAGGTTCCTCTGTGTCTGTGGTGGATCTGAGGAGAGCGCCCCCTGCTGGACTGAGGTCTGAAGGTTCCTCTGTGTCTGTGGTGGATCTGAGGAGAGCGCCCCCTGCTGGACTGAGGTCTGAAGGTTCCTCTGTGTCTGTGGTGGATCTGAGGAGAGCGCCCCCTGCTGGACTGGGGTCTTAAGGTTCCTCTGTGTCTGTGGTGGATCTGAGGAGAGCGCCCCCTGCTGGACAATACAATACTTCTTCTTAACTCGCTGTAATGTCTTCATAAAAGCAGAAAGTAAATATCAATATATCTGTACATTGATGGTGATTGTTGACTATGGAACTGAATGACTTACACAAATATTTGTTTATCCTAAAAATGTACGTTTATGAAGGCTGTGTACAGGGAATCAGGACGGGACCAGGACGAGACCAGGACGAGACCGGGACAAGACCAGAGAAGGACCAGGGTGAGACAAGGGCAGGACCAGGAAAAGACCAGTACAGGACAAGAGAAGGACAAGGACTGGACAAAGACAACATTAGGACAGGACAAGACCAGAGACCAAGACCAGGAGAGACCAGGACAGGACCAGGAGAGACAGGACAGGACCAGGAGAGACCAGGACAGGACCAGGAGAGACAGGACAGGACCAGGAGAGACAGGACAGGACCAGGAGAGACCAGGACAGGACCAGGAGAGACCAGGACAGGACCAGGAGAGGACCAGGAGAGACAGGACAGGACCAGGAGAGACCAGGACAGGACCAGGACAGGACCAGGACAGGACCAGGAGAGACCAGGACAGGACCAGGACAGGACCAGGAGAGACAGGACAGGACCAGGAGAGACCAGGAGAGGACCAGGAGAGACCAGGACAGGACCAGGAGAGACCAGGGCAGGACCAGGAGAGACCAGGGCAGGACCAGGAGAGACCAGGACAGGACAGGAGAGGACCAGGAGAGGACCAGGAGAGACCAGGACGTCAGTGTCTGTGGCTACAGCAGTGGTATTGACCCGAACCCAAACCACTGCATCATCATTATTTTCATATTAAAAACACTTTCTGAGTCTTGGATTATTTCTGCAACACACACAGGTCACTTATGGAACTACACATCTCCCACATGGTTTAATGGTTCAATCTGGCCCTTCACCACCAGATGGCGCCTGAGTCTTACATGTGGACCATTCCCAGAGAGACTTTCTTCCTGGTCTCTGTCACAGACAGCGACACATGCACATATTTACTGCATTAGAGTCTGACAGGTGTAGACTGTACGTGTCTTTGGTGTGGGACTAAAACAGATAAATGATACAAACAATAAACATCTCACATTCACTGATGGTTCCAGATCTCACACCATCAATACTTTGGCTCCAGGTCCCTGTACAAACCAGAACAAAGCTCACTCTGTTATAGAAATCTGAATAAACATGAAATACTAACATGAATAAGGGTGTAATAAGGTGTAACAGTGTAATAACTTTATGTTTGGGATGTGTTTGATCTTTTTACTGTTGTGTATCTTTTGTTTATGGTGCAGTCACTCACAATGTCTTCAACTGTTGTACCATTTATAGTCATTTATGTTTTGAATGTTCTGTGATGACTAAACATCTAGGATCTTATGAAGTGTGCCATTCAAATAAAGCTGGCTAACATCAAAGGCCTAAATGTCCGTCTGAACACACCACACAACACCACGTCTCCCAGATAACTCTTTATTCTTCATTATCATTTCAAAACAAACGTGGTACACTGGTGTGTGATGTCACATGGTCATTCAGCACACACACACACATGGTGTTCAAAGCTCTTTTCTATGGGACAGTCACCCACACAACACTGAAATGGTTCATCAGCGACGGGGAGCGAGGGGAGGGGTCGGGGGTCATAGCACGCCGATACATTGTACCAAACACCAATTATTTCACTTGTATTTCTGCACTCACACTCAGCGCTTGAGGCCGCTCCATTCCAACCCAGGCCAGTCTATTTACAACGGAACTTCATTCATAAAATATTGCACTTGTCGGCCCTTTGCATCTCCCAGCGAGCGCCGAGAGAATGCTGCTAAATGTTTCTACATAGATGTATATATATGTACATTATTTGGGTAGAATCTACATTAGAATGGGGTTACTCATGCTTTTCTTTTTCTTAGTCATAAACTATGCCACGGACAACGCTGTGGAAGGAGAAGACACATGTTTGGCACCACTTTTATTTTCCATGGAGGAAAGAATAGGTTTTTGAAGGACAGATTGGTCTAGAAGAGGGTTAGTTACGAGTTTAGGTCGACAAAGGCCAGAGGGAATTCCAACGCACCATGATGTCAGACTTTTCTTCCATATTATTGATATTTTGACCCATTAACTTCTACATTTGTGACTATCCCAGTCTGCTTCGAGTATCTCTGTCATGTGCTGTAGCTATAGACTAAAACTGGCCGTGGGCTCGCCTCTCCGTGGATCTGGCGTGTAACGAAGCCCGCTGACATCACCAGTCTCCGGTCAGAGATCAGCAGACACTATTTAGCAAAGCAACGGAACCATCCATCCATCCATCCATTTTCTTCCGCTTTATCCGTTGCCGGGTCGCGGGGGCAGCAGTCTAAGCAGAGACGCCCAGACTTCCCTATCCACACACACTTCCTCCAGCTCGTCCGGGGGGACCCCAAGGCGTTCCCAGGCCAGCTGAGAGATATAGTCCCTCCAGCGTGTCCTGGGTCTTCCGCGGGGCCTCCTCCCGGTGGGACGTGCCCGGAACACCTCCCCAGGGAGGCGTCCAGGAGGCATCCGGAACAGATGCCCGAGCCACCTCAACTGGTTCCTCTCGACGTGGAGAAGCAGCGGTTCTACTCCGAGCTCCTCCCGGGTGACTGAGCTCCTCACCCTATCTCTAAGGGAGCGCCCAGCCACTCTGCGGAGGAAGCTCATTTCGACCGCTTGTATCCGCGATCTCGTTCTTTCGGTCATTACCCAAAGCTCATGACCATAGATGAGGGAGGGAACGAAGATTGACCGGTAAATCGAGAGCTTTGCCTTTCGGCTCAGCTCCCTCTTCACCACAACGGTCCGATACAGCGACCGCATAACTGCGCACGCTGCACCGATCCGCCTGTCAATCTCACGCTCCATTCTTCCCTCACTCGTGAACAAGACCCCGAGATACTTGAACTCCTCCACTTGAGGAAGGACCTCTCCACCCACCTGCAGAGGGCAAGGCACCTTTTTCCGGTCGAGCACCATGGCCTCGGATTTGGAGGTGCTGATTCTCATCCCAGCCGCTTCACACTCGGCTGCAAACCGTCCCAGTGCATGCTGCAGGTCCTGGTTCGTTGGAGCCAACAGGACAACATCGTCCGCAAACAGCAGAGATGAAATCCTGTGGTCTCCGAACCGGACCCCCTCCGACCCCTGGCTGCGCCTAGATATTCTGTCCATAAATACAGTGAACAGAACCGGTGACAAAGGGCAGCCCTGTGGGAGGCCAACATTCACCGGGAACAGGTCTGACTTACTGCCGGCAATGCGAACACAGCTCTGGCTCTGGTCATACAGGGATCGGATGGCCCTCAGCAGAGGACCCCCGACCCCGTACTCCCGGAGAACCCCCCAAAGGACACCCCGGGGAACACAGTCGAACGCCTTCTCCAAATCCACAAAGCACATGTGGACAGGTTGGGCGAACTCCCATGAACCCTCGAGTATCCGATGGAGAGTATAGAGCTGGTCCAGTGTTCCGCGACCGGGACGAAAACCACACTGCTCCTCCTGGATCCGAGATTCGACCATCGGCCGTAGCCTCCTCTCCAGTACCTTGGAGTAGACCTTACCGGGGAGGCTGAGGAGTGTGATCCCACGATAATTGGAACATACCCTCCGGTCCCCCTTCTTGTAGAGAGGGACCACCACCCCCCGGTCTGCCACTCCATTGGCACTGCCCCCGATCGCCACGCGATGTTGCAGAGACGTGTCAGCCAAGACAGTCCTACAACATCCAGAGACTTTAGATAATCAGGGCGGATCTCATCCACACCCGGAGCCTTGCCACCATGGAGGCTACCAACCACCTTGGTGACCTCAGCCAGGGAGATGGATGTACCCGCCCCAACATCCTCAGCCTCTGCCTCTGTAACAGAGGACGTGACGGGGGGATTGAGGAGAACCTCAAAGTATTCCTTCCACCGCCCGACAATATCCCCAGTCGATGTCAGCAGCTCTCCACCCGCACCGTACATGGTGCTGGCAAAGAACTGCTTCCCCCTCCTGAGGCGCCGGATGGTTTGCCAGAATCTCTTCGAGGCCGACCGATAGTCATGCTCCATGGACTCTCCGAACTCCTCCCAGTCCCGGGTTTTTGCCTCTGCAACAGCCCGGGCCGCGGCACGCTTGGCCTGCCGGTATTGGACAGCTGCCTCAGGAGTCCCCCGAACCATCATGGCTCGATAGGACTCCTTCTTCAGCCTGACAGCATCCCTTACTGCCGGTGTCCACCACCGGGTTCGGGGGTTGCCGCCGGGACCAGCACCAGAGACCTTGCGACCACAGCTACGAGCCGCCGCATCGGCGATTGAGGCAGAGAACATGGTCCACTCGGACTCCATGTCCCCCTCCTCCGCCGGGACCTGGGAGAAACTCTCCCGGAGGTGTGAGTTGAAAGTCCGTCTGACAGGGGGCTCAGCGAGACGTTCCCAGCAGACCCTCACTATACGCTTGGGTCTGCCAGGTCTGACCGGCTTCTTCCCCTGCCAGCGGATCCAACTCACGACCAGGTGATGATCGGTTGACAGCTCCGCCCCTCTCTTCACCCGAGTGTCCGAGACACGCGGTCGAAGGTCAGATGATACGACAACAAAGTTGATCATCGACCTCCGGCCTAGGGTGTCCTGGTGCCACGTGCACTGGTGGACACCCTTGTGCTCGAACATGGTGTTCGTGATGGACAAACCGTGACTGGCACAGAAGTCCAACAACTGAGCACCGCTCGGGTTCAGATCAGGGGGGCCGCTCTTCCCGATCACCCCTCTCCAAGTGTCACTAGTGTTTCCCACATGGGCGTTGAAGTCCCCCAGGAGAATAACGGAGTCCCCGGGCGGTGCACCGTCCAGTACCCCTCCCAAGGACTCCAAGAAGGCCGGGTACTCTACACTGCTGTTAGGCCCGTAGGCCGTCACAACAATGAGAGACTTGTCCCCCACCCGGAGGCGGAGGGACGCGACCCTCTCATTCACCGGGGAGAACTCCAACACGTGGCGGCTGAGATGGGGGGCAATGAGAATGGCCACCCCAGCTCGCCGCCTCTCCCCGCGGGAAACTCCAGAAAAGTGGAGCGTCCAACCCCTCTCAAGGAGTTGGGTTCCAGAGCCCAAGCTGTGTGTGGAGGTGAGGCCGACTATCTCTAGTCGGTATCGCTCAACCTCCCCCACAAGCTCGGGCTCCTTCCCCCCCAGTGAGGTGACGTTCCACGTCCCAAGAGCCAGATGTTGTGTGTGCGGACTGGGTCGCCGAGGTCTCCGCCTTCGACTGCCGCCCAGTCCTCTCAGCACCGCTTCACCACGGACCCCTCTGCAGGTGGTGGGCCCACAGGAGGGACTGCCCACGTCATCCCTTCGGGCTGAGCCCGGCCGGGCCCCGTGGGCTAAGGCCCGGCCACCAGGCGCTCGCATACGGGCCCCGACCCCAGGCCTGGCTCCAGGGTGGGGCCCCGGCTGCGCCATGCCGGGCGACGTCACTGTTTTCATATTAGTGTTGTCCATGGTGTCTTCTGGACTGCTCTTTGTCTGACTCGTCACCTGAGACCTGTCTGCCATGGGAGGCCCTACCAGGGGCATGAAGCCCCAGACAGCTTAGCTCCCAGGATCATCCGAGTACTCAAACTCCCCCACCACGTTAAGGTGGCAGTCCAGGGGGACTGCCAACGGAACCATTTCAACCAAATTCACTGCTCGCTCAGTAATGGTTTGTCCCTGGTCTGGACCAAGGGTAGACCAAGACTAGACCCGGAACAAAACCTGGACCATATGCAATAATAAACACATAAATATTTAAATGATTAACATAAAGCTGCACCTTGGACCTGGATCCAGACTCAAAAAAGACCAAGACCAGGACCATGTCCTAGACCTACACCAGGACAAAGACCAAGACCAAGACCAAGTACTAGACCTAGACCTAGACCTAGACCTAGTCCAAGTCCAAGTCCAAGTCCAAGACCAAGACCAAGACCAAGACCAAGTCCAAGACCAAGACCAACACCAAGATCTAGACCTAGATGTAGACCTAAACATAGACCTAGACCTAGTCCAAGTCCAAGTCCAAGTATTATACCTAGACCTAGACCTACTTTCTTGTGTAAGTACTTCTTTGGGGTATTGTGACTGTGTACTTTCTTGTGTAAGTACTTCTTTGGGGTATTGTGACTGTGTACTTTCTTGTGTAAGTACTTCTTTGGGGTATTGTGACTGTGTACTTTCTTGTGTAAGTACTTCTTTGGGGTATTGTGACTGTGTACTTTCTTGTGTAAGTACTTCTTTGGGGTATTGTGACTGTGTACTTTCTTGTGTAAGTACTTCTTTGGGGTATTGTGACTGTGTACTTTCTTGTGTAAGTACTTCTTTGGGGTATTGTGACTGTGTACTTTCTTGTGTAAGTACTTCTTTGGGTATTGTGACTGTGTACTTTCTTGTGTAAGTACTTCTTTGGGGTATTGTGACTGTGTACTTTCTTGTGTAAGTACTTCTTTGGGGTATTGTGACTGTGTACTTTCTTGTGTAAGTACTTCTTTGGGGTATTGTGACTGTGTACTTTCTTGTGTAAGTACTTCTTTGGGGTATTGTGACTGTGTACTTTCTTGTGTAAGTACTTCTTTGGGGTATTGTGACTGTGTAATTTCTTGTGTAAGTACTTCTTTGGGGTATTGTGACTGTGTACTTTCTTGTGTAAGTACTTCTTTGGGGTATTGTGACTGTGTACTTTCTTGTGTAAGTACTTCTTTGGGGTATTGTGACTGTGTACTTTCTTGTGTAAGTACTTCTTTGGGGTATTGTGACTGTGTGTACTTTCTTGTGTAAGTACTTCTTTGGGGTATTGTGACTGTGTACTTTCTTGTGTAAGTACTTCTTTGGGGTATTGTGACTGTGTACTTTCTTGTGTAAGTACTTCTTTGGGGTATTGGACTGTATTGTGTACTTTGGGGTGTGACTGTGTACTTTCTTGTGTAAGTACTTCTTTGGGGTATTGTGACTGTGTACTTTCTTGTGTAAGTACTTCTTTGGGGTATTGTGACTGTGTACTTTCTGTGTAAGTACTTCTTTGGGGTATTGTGACTGTGTACTTTCTTGTGTAAGTACTTCTTTGGGGTATTGTGACTGTGTACTTTCTTGTGTAAGTACTTCTTTGGGGTATTGTGACTGTGTACTTTCTTGTGTAAGTACTTCTTTGGGGTATTGTGACTGTGTACTTTCTTGTGTAAGTACTTCTTTGGGGTATTGTGACTGTGTACTTTCTTGTGTAAGTACTTCTTTGGGGGGGTGTGTACTTTCTTGTGTGTACTTCTTTGGGGTATTGTGACTGTGTACTTTCTTGTGTAAGTACTTCTTTGGGGTATTGTGACTGTGTACTTTCTTGTGTAAGTACTTCTTTGGAAGGGTGGCTACGAGGGGCAGGTTATCATCTGATTTATGAGCCTCCTCCAAACAAACGTGGTTCTTATCAGTGAAGTGTCAGTGTCTGGATGGACACAAAGACTGTGTTCACTTTAAGGATTTTTAGCGTTTCTGATGTTTTTGATTTAATGAATAGTCATTTTCCGTCACAGTCGACAGAACCTTATTCCTAAATGAAGCTGGATTTGTCTAAATGTACTTCAGCCTCAAGCTGCAGTGTTTGTGGCACAGTGACACCATGTGCAGCTGGTGTTGATGGTCTGTGGAGCTGCTCTGTGACGTTGAACCATGTGCAGCTGGTGTTGATGGTCTGTGGAGCTGCTCTGTGACGTTGAACCATGTGCAGCTGGTGTTGATGGTCTGTGGAGCTGCTCTGTGACGTTGAACCATCTGGTCCAGGTCATGTGACCATAGTTTGGAGGCTCCCATGGTGCTACAGCTGAAAGCACGATACTGGGACTGGTCCTCAGGTCTAGAGTCAGACTGGGACTGGTCCTCAGGTCTAGAGTCAAACTGGGACTTGTCCTCAGGTGTAGAGTCAGACTGGGACTGGTCCTCAGGTCTAGAGTCAGACTGGGACTGGTCCTCAGGTCTAGAGTCAGACTGGGACTGGTCCTCAGGTCTAGAGTCAGACTGGGACTGGTCCTCAGGTCTAGAGTCAGACTGGGGCTGGTCCTCAGGTCTAGAGTCAGACTGGGACTGGTCCTCAGGTCTAGAGTCAGACTGGGACTGGTCCTCAGGTCTAGAGTCAGACTGGGGCTGGTCCTCAGGTCTAGAGTCAGACTGGGACTGGTCCTCAGGTCTAGAGTCAGACTGGGACTGGTCCTCAGGTCTAGAGTCAGACTGGGACTGGTCCTCAGGTCTAGAGTCAGACTGGGACTGGTCCTCAGGTCTAGAGTCAGACTGGGGCTGGTCCTCAGGTCTAGAGTCAGACTGGGACTGGTCCTCAGGTCTAGAGTCAGACTGGGACTGGTCCTCAGGTCTAGAGTCAGACTGGGACTGGTCCTCAGGTCTAGAGTCAGACTGGGACTGGTCCTCAGGTCTAGAGTCCAGGTCAGACTGGGACCGGTCCTCAGGTCTAGAGTCAGACTGGGACCGGTCCTCAGGTCTAGAGTCAGACTGGGATTGGTCCTCAGGTCTAGAGTCCAGGTCAGACTGGGACTGGTCCTCAGGTCTAGAGTCCAGGTCAGACTGGGACTGGTCCTCAGGTCTAGAGTCAGACTGGGACTGGTCCTCAGGTCTAGAGTCCAGGTCAGACTGGGACTGGTCCTCAGGTCTAGGGTCCAGGTCAGACTGGGACTGGTCCTCAGGTCTAGAGTCAGACTGGGACTGGTCCTCAGGTCTAGAGTCCAGGTCAGACTGGGACTGGTCCTCAGGTCTAGAGTCAGACTGGGACTGGTCCTCAGGTCTAGAGTCAGACTGGGACTGGTCCTCAGGTCTAGAGTCAGACTGGGACTGGTCCTCAGGTCTAGAGTCCAGGTCAGACTGGGACTGGTCCTCAGGTCTAGAGTCCAGGTCAGACTGGGACTGGTCCTCAGGTCTAGAGTCCAGGTCAGACTGGGACTGGTCCTCAGGTCTAGAGTCCAGGTCAGACTGGGACTGGTCCTCAGGTCTAGAGTCTCAGAGTCAGGTCAGACTGGGACTGGTCCTCAGGTCTAGAGTCCAGGTCAGACTGGGACTGGTCCTCAGGTCTAGAGTCCAGGTCAGACTGGGACTGGTCCTCAGGTCTAGAGTCCAGGTCAGACTGGGACTGGTCCTCAGGTCTAGAGTCAGACTGGGACTGGTCCTCAGGTCTAGAGTCCAGGTCAGACTGGGACTGGTCCTCAGGTCTAGAGTCAGACTGGGGCTGGTCCTCAGGTCTAAAGTCAGACTGGGGCTGGTCCTCAGGTCTAGAGTCAGACTGGGGCTGGTCCTCAGGTCTAGAGTCAGACTGGGACTGGTCCTCAGGTCTAGAGTCAGACTGGGACTGGTCCTCAGGTCTAGAGTCAGACTGGGGCTGGTCCTCAGGTCTAGAGTCAGACTGGGACTGGTCCTCAGGTCTAGAGTCAGACTGGGACTGGTCCTCAGGTCTAGAGTCAGACTGGGACTGGTCCTCAGGTCTAGAGTCAGACTGGGACTGGTCCTCAGGTCTAGAGTCAGACTGGGACTGGTCCTCAGGTCTAGAGTCCAGGTCAGACTGGGACTGGTCCTCAGGTCTAGAGTCCAGGTCAGACTGGGACTGGTCCTCAGGTCTAGAGTCCAGGTCAGACTGGGACTGGTCCTCAGGTCTAGAGTCAGACTGGGACTGGTCCTCAGGTCTAGAGTCCAGGTCAGACTGGGACTGGTCCTCAGGTCTAGAGTCAGACTGGGACTGGTCCTCAGGTCTAGAGTCAGACTGGGACTGGTCCTCAGGTCTAGAGTCAGACTGGGACTGGTCCTCAGGTCTAGAGTCAGACTGGGACTGGTCCTCAGGTCTAGAGAGTCAGACTGGGACTGGTCTCGTCAGGTCAGGTCAGACTGGGACTGGTCCTCAGGTCTAGAGTCAGACTGGGACTGGTCCTCAGGTCTAGAGTCAGACTGGGACTGGTCCTCAGGTCTAGAGTCAGACTGGGACTGGTCCTCAGGTCTAGAGTCAGACTGGGACTGGTCCTCAGGTCTAGAGTCAGACTGGGACTGGTCCTCAGGTCTAGAGTCAGACTGGGACTGGTCCTCAGGTCTAGAGTCAGACTGGGGACTGGTCCTCAGGTCTAAGTCAGGTCAGACTGGGACTGGTCCTCAGGTCTAGAGTCAGACTGGGACTGGTCCTCAGGTCTAGAGTCAGACTGGGACTGGTCCTCAGGTCTAGAGTCAGACTGGGACTGGTCCTCAGGTCTAGAGTCAGACTGGGACTGGTCCTCAGGTCTAGAGTCCAGGTCAGACTGGGACTGGTCCTCAGGTCTAGAGTCCAGGTCAGACTGGGACTGGTCCTCAGGTCTAGAGTCCAGGTCAGACTGGGACTGGTCCTCAGGTCTAGAGTCAGACTGGGACTGGTCCTCAGGTCTAGAGTCCAGGTCAGACTGGGACTGGTCCTCAGGTCTAGAGTCCAGTCAGACTGGGACTGGTCCTCAGGTCTAGAGTCCAGGTCAGACTGGGACTGGTCCTCAGGTCTAGAGTCAGACTGGGACTGGTCCTCAGGTCTAGAGTCCAGGTCAGACTGGGACTGGTCCTCAGGTCTAGAGTCAGACTGGGACTGGTCCTCAGGTCTAGAGTCCAGGTCAGACTGGGACTGGTCCTCAGGTCTAGAGTCAGACTGGGACTGGTCCTCAGGTCTAGAGTCAGACTGGGACTGGTCCTCAGGTCTAGAGTCAGACTGGGACTGGTCCTCAGGTCTAGAGTCAGACTGGGACTGGTCCTCAGGTCTAGAGTCAGACTGGGACTGGTCCTCAGGTCTAGAGTCAGACTGGGACTGGTCCTCAGGTCTAGAGTCAGACTGGGACTGGTCCTCAGGTCTAGAGTCAGACTGGGACTGGTCCTCAGGTCTAGAGTCAGACTGGGACTGGTCCTCAGGTCTAGAGTCAGACTGGGACTGGTCCTCAGGTCTAGAGTCAGACTGGGACTGGTCCTCAGGTCTAGAGTCAGACTGGGACTGGTCCTCAGGTCTAGAGTCAGACTGGGACTGGTCCTCAGGTCTAGAGTCAGACTGGGACTGGTCCTCAGGTCTAGAGTCAGACTGGGACTGGTCCTCAGGTCTAGAGTCAGACTGGGACTGGTCCTCAGGTCTAGAGTCCAGGTCAGACTGGGACTGGTCCTCAGGTCTAGAGTCAGACTGGGACTGGTCCTCAGGTCTAGAGTCAGACTGGGACTGGTCTCTCAGGTCTAGAGTCCAGGTCAGACTGGGACTGGTCCTCAGGTCTAGAGTCCAGGTCAGACTGGGACTGGTCCTCAGGTCTAGAGTCAGACTGGGACTGGTCCTCAGGTCTAGAGTCCAGGTCAGACTGGGACTGGTCCTCAGGTCTAGAGTCCAGGTCAGACTGGGACTGGTCCTCAGGTCTAGAGTCCAGTCAGACTGGGACTGGTCCTCAGGTCTAGAGTCCAGGTCAGACTGGGACTGGTCCTCAGGTCTAGAGTCAGACTGGGACTGGTCCTCAGGTCTAGAGTCCAGGTCAGACTGGGACTGGTCCTCAGGTCTAGAGTCCAGGTCAGACTGGGACTGGTCCTCAGGTCTAGAGTCAGACTGGGACTGGTCCTCAGGTCTAGAGTCAGACTGGGACTGGTCCTCAGGTCTAGAGTCAGACTGGGACTGGTCCTCAGGTCTAGAGTCCAGGTCAGACTGGGACTGGTCCTCAGGTCTAGAGTCAGTCAGACTGGGACTGGTCCTCAGGTCTAGTCAGACTGGTCCTGGTCTAGAGTCAGACTGGGACTGGTCCTCAGGTCTAGAGTCAGACTGGGACTGGTCCTCAGGTCTAGAGTCAGAGACTGGGACTGGTCCTCAGGTCTAGAGTCCAGGTCAGACTGGGACTGGTCCTCAGGTCTAGAGTCAGTCAGACTGGGACTGGTCCTCAGGTCTAGTCAGGTCAGACTGGGACTGGTCCTCAGGTCTAGAGTCAGACTGGGACTGGTCCTCAGGTCTAGAGTCAGACTGGGACTGGTCCTCAGGTCTAGAGTCCAGGTCAGACTGGGACTGGTCCTCAGGTCTAGAGTCCAGGTCAGACTGGGACTGGTCCTCAGGTCTAGAGTCCAGGTCAGACTGGGACTGGTCCTCAGGTCTAGAGTCAGACTGGGACTGGTCCTCAGGTCTAGAGTCCAGGTCAGACTGGGACTGGTCCTCAGGTCTAGAGTCCAGGTCAGACTGGGACTGGTCCTCAGGTCTAGAGTCCAGGTCAGACTGGGACTGGTCCTCAGGTCTAGAGTCAGACTGGGACTGGTCCTCAGGTCTAGAGTCAGTAGACTGGGACTGGTCCTCAGGTCTAGAGTCAGACTGGGACTGGTCCTCAGGTCTAGAGTCCAGGTCAGACTGGGACTGGTCCTCAGGTCTAGAGTCAGTCAGACTGGGACTGGTCCTCAGGTCTAGAGTCCGGTCAGACGTGGGACTGGTCCTCAGGTCTAGAGTCAGTCAGACTGGGACTGGTCCTCAGGTCTAGAGTCCAGGTCAGACTGGGACTGGTCCTCAGGTCTAGGTCCAGGTCAGACTGGGACTGGTCCTCAGGTCTAGAGTCAGACTGGGACTGGTCCTCAGGTCTAGAGTCCAGGTCAGACTGGGACTGGTCCTCAGGTCTAGAGTCCAGGTCAGACTGGGACTGGTCCTCAGGTCTAGAGTCCAGGTCAGACTGGGACTGGTCCTCAGGTCTAGAGTCAGACTGGGACTGGTCCTCAGGTCTAGAGTCCAGGTCAGACTGGGACTGGTCCTCAGGTCTAGAGTCAGACTGGGACTGGTCCTCAGGTCTAGAGTCCAGGTCAGACTGGGACTGGTCCTCAGGTCTAGAGTCAGACTGGGACTGGTCCTCAGGTCTAGAGTCCAGGTCAGACTGGGACTGGTCCTCAGGTCTAGAGTCCAGGTCAGACTGGGACTGGTCCTCAGGTCTAGAGTCAGACTGGGACTGGTCCTCAGGTCTAGAGTCAGACTGGGACTGGTCCTCAGGTCTAGAGTCAGACTGGGACTGGTCCTCAGGTCTAGAGTCAGACTGGGACTGGTCCTCAGGTCTAGAGTCAGACTGGGACTGGTCCTCAGGTCTAGAGTCAGACTGGGACTGGTCCTCAGGTCTAGAGTCAGACTGGGACTGGTCCTCAGGTCTAGAGTCCAGGTCAGACTGGGACTGGTCCTCAGGTCTAGAGTCAGACTGGGACTGGTCCTCAGGCTAGAGTCAGACTGGGACTGGTCCTCAGGTCTAGAGTCAGACTGGGACTGGTCCTCAGGTCTAGAGTCCAGGTCAGACTGGGACTGGTCCTCAGGTCTAGAGTCCAGGTCAGACTGGGACTGGTCCTCAGGTCTAGAGTCCAGGTCAGACTGGGACTGGTCCTCAGGTCTAGAGTCAGACTGGGACTGGTCCTCAGGTCTAGAGTCAGACTGGGACTGGTCCTCAGGTCTAGAGTCCAGGTCAGACTGGGACTGGTCCTCAGGTCTAGAGTCAGACTGGGACTGGTCCTCAGGTCTAGAGTCCAGGTCAGACTGGGACTGGTCCTCAGGTCTAGAGTCAGACTGGGACTGGTCCTCAGGTCTAGAGTCCAGGTCAGACTGGGACTGGTCCTCAGGTCTAGAGTCCAGGTCAGACTGGGACTGGTCCTCGGTCTAGAGTCAGACTGGGACTGGTCCTCAGTTCTAGAGTCCAGGTCAGACTGGGACTGGTCCTCAGGTCTAGCGTCCAGGTCAGACTGGGACTGGTCCTCAGGTCTAGAGTCAGACTGGGACTGGTCCTCAGGTCTAGAGTCCAGGTCAGACTGGGACTGGTCCTCAGGTCTAGAGTCCAGGTCAGACTGGGACTGGTCCTCAGGTCTAGAGTCCAGGTCAGACTGGGACTGGTCCTCAGGTCTAGAGTCCAGGTCAGACTGGGACTGGTCCTCAGGTCTAGAGTCAGACTGGGACTGGTCCTCAGGTCTAGAGTCCAGGTCAGACTGGGACTGGTCCTCAGGTCTAGAGTCAGACTGGGCCTGGTCCTCAGGTCTAGAGTCCAGGTCAGACTGGGACTGGTCCTCAGGTCTAGAGTCAGACTGGGACTGGTCCTCAGGTCTAGAGTCCAGGTCAGACTGGGACTGGTCCTCAGGTCTAGAGTCCAGGTCAGACTGGTCCTCAGGTCTAGAGTCCAGGTCAGACTGGGACTGGTCCTCAGGTCTAGAGTCAGACTGGGACTGGTCCTCAGGTCTAGAGTCAGACTGGGACTGGTCCTCAGGTCTAGAGTCAGACTGGGACTGGTCCTCAGGTCCAGAGTCAGACTGGGACTGGTCATCAGGTCTAGAGTCCAGGTAAGACTGGGAATGTTCCTCAGGTCTAGAGTCCAGGTCAGACTGGGACTGGTCCTCAGGTCCAGGTCAGACTGGGACTGGTCCTCAGGTCTAGAGTCAGACTGGGACTGGTCCTCAGGTCTAGAGTCAGACTGGGACTGGTCCTCAGGTCTAGAGTCAGACTGGGACTGGTCCTCAGGTCTAGAGTCCAGGTCAGACTGGGACTGGTCCTCAGGTCTAGAGTCAGACTGGGACTGGTACTCAGGTCTAGAGTCAGACTGGGACTGGTCCTCAGGTCTAGAGTCCAGGTCAGACTGGGACTGGTCCTCAGGTCTAGAGTCAGACTGGGACTGGTCCTCAGGTCTAGAGTCCAGGTCAGACTGGGACTGGTCCTCGGTCTAGAGTCAGACTGGGACTGGTCCTCAGGTCTAGCGTCCAGGTCAGACTGGGACTGGTCCTCAGGTCTAGAGTCAGACTGGGACTGGTCCTCAGGTCTAGAGTCCAGGTCAGACTGGGACTGGTCCTCAGGTCTAGAGTCAGACTGGGACTGGTCCTCAGGTCTAGAGTCCAGGTCAGACTGGGACTGGTCCTCAGGTCTAGAGTCCAGGTCAGACTGGGACTGGTCCTCAGGTCTAGAGTCAGACTGGGACTGGTCCTCAGGTCTAGAGTCAGATTCAGATTCAGATTCATTTATTTGCCATTTGCAGTAAAACCACATTGGAAAAACTGTGCAAGACTACCCCTGTGTGCGCCAGACAGAGAAGACGACACACACCAGAGCTCTTGCCACGGCGCCATCTTTTCCGGCGCCATGCGACAAACAGTAGAATAAACAGCAGAGAGCAATAACATTCAGGTTACAACAGACAGTTGGATAGAAAACATTGTGCTTTGTATAAACCACGGATCTTTTTTCGGGATGAGTGCCTTCTGCAGCCGGTGGCTGTCAGAGGGGGGCGGGGTCAGGGAGGGGGTGAGTCGGAAACACATTGAGGAGTGGAGGGGAGGGAGAGATCAGAGGGAGGCGGGGGGAGCGGGATCCAAGCTGGAACTGAAAGAGTGTGAAATTGTTGTAGAGTCCAGATTTATTATTATGGCCTTGGCCCGAGGAATGTGAGATAAGAGTGGGGGGAAGACACAGCAAGGAGAAAACACATCTTCCTGTAACGAGGGACAATATTCTATGCATTTTAGCAGTCAAAAACAGGCAGATATTCTATTAAATCCAATTAAACCGAATTGCGGCGCCCTCAGACCCCGTACACAGGGGCAAATCCAAGCCGGGTCAGAGAGTTCAAGCGTGGCAAACAATGTCATTCAATCTCAATTCCAGAGTTTTATGCCCATCAAGTGAACGAGCTGCGAGATCTTTGATCAACTGTTCCACTAACACCACTCTTCGTTGTCCAGACACGGCGCTCTCAACCACGACTCGGTTAAGCTCCTTGTACATCCCATCAATTTTGTCGGCCAGCAGGTCGTGAATCTTGCGAACTGCCATGCCTCCGAATTTGTGGTAGAAGAGGACCGCTCCAAACCCAAACAGGAGGATCCCCACCACCAAAAAGCCAAAGATATATACGTCTTCCAAATCTTCAATGGACAGGGTCGACAGACAGAGGGGCTGCCACGAGTTCCAGCTGTCAAGCGTATAACCCGCAGGTGAAGTCCCGTCCGGGCACTCGGGCTCTCCAGACCCGCGCTTACGTGTTGAAAAGATAGAATCAATTGCGTTGAGGGACCAATTTATCATTTCCATTCTTGTTAAAGTTGTCTGTGGCAAAACTCCAGGAAAAAGACAAAAACAGGAGATAGCAGCAGTCAGAAGCAGGAGCGTCTGGGACACGTCTTTGCTCGACGGAAAGACTGGGACTGGTCCTCAGGTCTAGAGTCAGACTGGGACTGGTCCTCAGGTCTAGAGTCAGACTGGGACTGGTCCTCAGGTCTAGAGTCAGACTGGGACTGGTCCTCAGGTCTAGAGTCAGACTGGGACTGGTCCTCAGGTCTAGAGTCAGACTGGGACTGGTCCTCAGGTCTAGAGTCAGACTGGGACTGGTCCTCAGGTCTAGAGTCAGACTGGGACTGGTTCTCAGGTCTAGAGTCAGACTGGGACTGGTCCTCAGGTCTAGAGTCAGACTGGGACTGGTCCTCAGGTCTAGAGTCAGACTGGGACTGGTCCTCAGGTCTAGAGTCAGACTGGGACTGGTCCTCAGGTCTAGAGTCCAGGTCAGACTGGGACTGGTCCTCAGGTCTAGAGTCCAGGTCAGACTGGGACTGGTCCTCAGGTCTAGAGTCCAGGTCTAGACTGGCACTGGTCCTCAGGTCTAGCGTCAGACTGGGACTGGTCCTCAGGTCTAGAGTCAGACTGGGACTGGTCCTCAGGTCTAGAGTCAGACTGGGACTGGTCCTCAGGTCTAGAGTCAGACTGGGACTGGTCCTCAGGTCTAGAGTCAGACTGGGACTGGTCCTCAGGTCTAGAGTCAGACTGGGACTGGTTCTCAGGTCTAGAGTCAGACTGGGACTGGTCCTCAGGTCTAGAGTCAGACTGGGACTGGTCCTCAGGTCTAGAGTCAGACTGGGACTGGTCCTCAGGTCTAGAGTCCAGGTCAGACTGGGACTGGTCCTCAGGTCTAGAGTCCAGGTCAGACTGGGACTGGTCCTCAGGTCTAGAGTCCAGGTCAGACTGGGACTGGTCCTCAGGTCTAGAGTCCAGGTCAGACTGGGACTGGTCCTCAGGTCTAGCGTCCAGGTCAGACTGGGACTGGTCGTCAGGTCTAGAGTCAGACTGGGACTGGTCCTCAGGTCTAGAGTCCAGGTCAGACTGGGACTGGTCCTCAGGTCTAGAGTCAGACTGGGACTGGTCCTCAGGTCTAGAGTCCAGGTCAGACTGGGACTGGTCCTCAGGTCTAGAGTCAGACTGGGCCTGGTCCTCAGGTCTAGAGTCCAGGTCAGACTGGGACTGGTCCTCAGGTCTAGAGTCCAGGTCAGACTGGTCCTCAGGTCTAGAGTCAGACTGGGACTGGTCCTCAGGTCTAGAGTCAGACTGGGCTGGTCCTCAGGTCTAGAGTCAGACTGGGACTGGTCCTCAGGTCTAGAGTCAGACTGGGACTGGTCCTCAGGTCTAGAGTCAGACTGGGACTGGTCCTCAGGTCTAGAGTCAGACTGGGCCTGGTCCTCAGGTCTAGAGTCCAGGTCAGACTGGGACTGGTCCTCAGGTCTAGAGTCAGACTGGGCTGGTCCTCAGGTCTAGAGTCAGCTGGGACTGGTCCTCAGGTCTAGAGTCAGACTGGGACTGGTCCTCAGGTCTAGAGTCAGACTGGGACTGGTCCTCAGGTCTAGAGTCAGACTGGGACTGGTCCTCAGGTCTAGAGCTCAGACTGGGACTGGTCCTCAGGTCTAGTGAGTCAGACTGGGACTGGTCCTCAGGTCTAGTCAGGTCAGACTGGGACTGGTCCTCAGGTCTAGAGTCAGACTGGGACTGGTCCTCAGGTCTAGAGTCAGACTGGGACTGGTCCTCAGGTCTAGAGTCCAGGTCAGACTGGGACTGGTCCTCAGGTCTAGAGTCCTGGTCAGACTGGGACTGGTCCTCAGGTCTAGAGTCCAGGTCAGACCGGGACTGGTCCTCAGGTCTAGAGTCCAGGTCAGACTGGAACTGGTCCTCAGGTCTAGAGTCCTGGTCAGACTGGGACTGGTCCTCAGGTCTAGAGTCCAGGTCAGACTGGGAATGGTCCTCAGGTCTAGAGTCAGACTAGGACTGGTCCTCAGGTCTAGAGTCCGACTGGGACTGGTCCTCAGGTCTAGAGTCAGACTGGGACTGGTCCTCAGGTCTAGCGTCAGACTGGGACTGGTCCTCAGGTCTAGCGTCAGACTGGGACTGGTCCTCAGGTCTAGAGTCCAGGTCAGACTGGGACTGGTCCTCAGGTCTAGCGTCAGACTGGGACTGGTCCTCAGGTCTAGAGTCCAGGTCAGACTGGGACTGGTCCTCAGGTCTAGAGTCAGACTGGGACTGGTCCTCAGGTCTAGAGTCCAGGTCAGACTGGGACTGGTCCTCAGGTCTAGAGTCAGACTGGGACTGGTCCTCAGGTCTAGAGTCCAGGTCAGACTGGGACTGGTCCTCAGGTCTAGAGTCAGACTGGGACTGGTCCTCAGGTCTAGAGTCCAGGTCAGACTGGGACTGGTCCTCAGGTCTAGAGTCAGACTGGGACTGGTCCTCAGGTCTAGAGTCCAGGTCAGACTGGACTGGTCCTCAGGTCTAGAGTCAGACTGGGACTGGTCCTCAGGTCTAGAGTCCAGGTCAGACTGGGACTGGTCTCCTGCCCTGACATGTGTGAGTTATTCTGCAGACAAACACACAAACCCTGGTGATTACAGTACCCCTGGTGGAGGTCTCTTGACGACTACAGAAAACACAAGTTTCTTTTCCTGATCCAGAAACACAACAAAGACACAACATGAAACATGTTTGTGAATGATGCAGACACATGACGCAGGCTGAAGACCAGGAGTCTCAGTGTGGACTGTGTTCTGGAGACTGGTTCAGGACTGTCTCTGGGAGAATGAATCCTGAGGCGTGTAAGAGGGAGGTCCTCATCACAGATGAACTACATCCAGACTGGGGCCACATGAGACACTAACATTCAATCTACTTCATTCTGTGTCCGTCTCAAATGTCAAAACCAACTCTGCTTTAATCACAAACCTCAGCACAGTCTGAATGTTGCTCTGAAAACCTGCACTTAGATATTTGGACCGAGTCCTGCAGCTGTAGGACCAGAACACCAGTTTGGAATCCAATCAGAGCCAAAGGTTCAGAGACTGTTCTGGTATGTTTCCTGGTTCTTTCCTGGTCCTTACATCATTTGAATGTGTTCTGGGACATTCCTATGAGGCCAGGGCCGGAGTGGGACATTTTTTTGGCCTGGGAATTCTGGGTCAGACTGGCCCTTCTGATAAAGTAGTCCATCAAAAAAACTGAACTGCCTGCCGTTGTAATATCCATAACAACCAGCAGGTGGGGGCGACAGTAGCTTCAGGCCTGAAGGTCGTGGGTTCACTTCCCACCTTGACACCTTCTCCACCGACTCCCACTGATGACTGCTGTCGTTGTGTCCTTGGGCAAGACACTTAACCCCACTTTGCCCAAAGCCCCCACTGAAAGATCAAGGCTATGCTCACACTCAGAGAGCAGCCGTCCTCCTGTGGACTCACCACCTGCAGAGGGTCAGTGAGGGGCTGGTGCTATGAGACTTGGGTGGCATCTCTGACTGCCACCCCCCTGACCCAGAAATGGATTAAAGGGTAGAAAATGGATGGATGGATGGATGGACCAGCAGGTGGCCTAAAATCAAGTTTTATAAATTTCTAGACTAGTACTAATTAAAATATTCTTTGTTCGCCCCTTTTAGACTTGTCAGTGTTAGTCACAAAATAACTCAACAATGCATTTGAATAAATCATGATATTTGAACATTCTGGAATCACAATATGAATCAGAGCAAATTTTAGACTGACTCTAGACTTATGTGGAAATAAAAAGCATTAATTTCACAAATTTTAGAACAATGTCAATTTTTTTTCAAATAATTGTTATTCCCAAAGATTTGGCTGCATTTTTTTGTATAATACATTGAATGGAATTGAAACCATTAAACTATCATCCTCCTTTCAAGACTAAACAAAAACAAAGACTAATGCAAACACTACACTAAGACAAAACGGTGCTTGCTACAACTTTATACAAAACCAAAATTAATCTTAACGTACTTTAATGCTGTCCCAGGGGAGAACTAAAGGCAAACTAAATGTTAACCTCTATCAAGACGAGAAATCACAAACTGCACAGTATTTAAATTAAACAAACCCAAATTAACAATAGCAAAATGAAGCACATTAAAACATGAGTAAACTCCATTTAAGTGCACTTGTTTCTGCTGCTATGTTTAAGAGAATGGACCTCATTCACGAATAACTTCGTAAGAAACTTCTTAAATTTCTTCTCAAGTCGTTCTTCAGTAGATTTCTAAGAAGACCCTACGTGGGATTCATCAACGCGCTCGCAAGCCGCTGAATTGTTTGCAGCTGTTCTCTCAGATTGATGAATGCCAACTCCTCGTAAGTAGAGCGTGCCGGGTGTGTCAATGCCTTGCGAAAGTATTCGGCCCCCTTGAACCTTTCAACATTTCGCCACATTTCAGGCTTCAAACATAAAGATATAACATTTTATTTTTTTGTATGAATCAACAACAATGGGACACAATCGTGAAGTGGAACAAAATTTATTGGATAATTTAAACTTTTTTAACAAATAAAAAACTGAAAAGTGGGGCGTGCAATATTATTCGGCCCCTTTACTTTCAGTGCAGCAAACTCAGTCCAGAAGTTCAGTGAGGATCTTTGAATGATCCAATGTTGTCCTAAATGACTGATGATGATAAATAGAATGCACCTGTGTGTAATCAAGTCTCCGTATAAATGCACCTGCTCTTTGATAGTCTCAGGGTTCTGTTTAAAGCGCAGAGAGAACCATGAAGACAAAGGAACACACCAGGCAGGTCCGAGATACTGTTGTGGAGAAGTTTAAAGCCGGATTTGGATACAAAAAGATTTCCCAAGCTTAAATCTCAAGGAGCACTGTGCAAGCAATTATATTGAAATGGAAGGAGTATCAGACCACTGAAAATCTACCAAGACCCGGCCGTCCCTCCAAACTTTCATCTCAAACAAGGAGAAGACTGATCAGAGATGCAGCCAAGAGGCCCATGATCACTCTGGATGAACTGCAGATAACGACAGCTGAGGTGGGAGAGTCTGTCCATAGGACAACAATCACTCGTGCACTGCACAAATCTGGCCTTTATGGAAGAGTGGCCATTTCTCAAAGATATCCATAAAAAGTTTGCCACAAGCCACCTGGGAGACACACCAAACATGTGGAAGAAGGTACTCTGGTCAGACGAAACCAAAATCGAACTTTTTGGCCACAATGCAAAACCATATGTTTGGCGTAAAAGCAAACACAGCTCATCACCCTGAACACACCATCCCCACTGTCAAACATGGTGGTGGCAGCATCATGCTTTGGGCCTGCTTTTCTTCAGCAGGGACAGGAAGATGGCTAAAATTGATGGGAAGATGGATGGAGCCAAATACAGGACCATTCTGGAAGAAAACTGGAGTTTGCAAAAGACCTGAGACTGGGACGGAGATTTATCTTCCAACAGGACAATGATCCAAAACATAAAGCCAAATCTACAATGGAATGGTTCACAAATAGACAAATAGACAATAGTACTTCATTAATATGAATGGACGATGGTTGTATCTGACGACCCAAGAAGCAATCCATGTTATTGACGGAATGCTAATCATTTAGGGAGTCACGTCATGTTTTGCCACAGTGTTTTGCATGTTTTTTTGCTAGCTTACCGCGGTCTGATGCCTCTTCATCGGCGGAGCACTTTTGCTTTTGTCCTTTCCATTTTAAAAACACTCGCGTTGGACAGATGCCAGTGAGTAACAGCGCTTGCTTCAGTTCTATCTGTCATTCAGCCTGATCTTTGGCCCGCTCTCGCTTAGTCCCGCCTACAATCTACAGACAACCAACCACGCTGTAGCAGAACACATCGTAACCAATGAAAGCGGCAAAATGAGACTAGCCAGAAGTGTGTGTGCTGTTTACTCATGTGTGTGTGTGTGTTGAGAGAGAGAGAGGCAGTGCGCACTAGGGAGCGACAGGTCCGAGAAGGCTGCGGTGAGCAGCGGTGTCAGGAAAGTACGGCCGCCGGCCAAGTCCAACCAGCAACATACAACATCCAGCCCACCGGTCCTTAGCCCAACCGGCCCACCGGGAAACCTCCCAGCTCTCCCGATTAGCCACGCCGGCACTGTATAAGGCCGATGGAGCATCTTTACATTAGAGTTTTCTGGTCTCAGAGGGACCAGCAGAGAGAGTCCATTTAGGGGTCCCCTGGTACATTCTGTACCTTGGTCACAGCTGGTCTTCAACACATGGTACCAGGTTCCATTACGTCACCTCTCAGTGGTACCAGACCCACAGTTTCTTTGTCTCTGGGTCTTTTCCATGGTCTTTCTTTGGACCAGGCTGAAGTCCAAGTCTGAGTTCTACTGTTCTGTTTTCTGTAAACCTTCTTGAAACATAATCCAGAGAGAATTCTTTCAACACTTACTACTGTTTGTGCAGGAAACCTGGTCTTCTGAAGATCCAACACACAACACTGTTAGAACAGACGCAAATATCATGAAACAAAGTGACTCTGGTTCTGATTCCAGCCTCTACAACATGGACCCACGAGGATCTGGCTCCGGGTCTAAACCCAGACCTGGACCCAGGCCTGGACCTGCTCCCAGCTCTCAGTCTCTGAAAAGTGACCGGTCCAAATTCCTTCCTCCAGACTTCAGAGAAGATGGTCCTGAAGATCAGAGGTGAGACTTGAACCCATGTTGTTAAGACAGTGCTGTGTCTCGTCCTTCATCAAAGACTGTGGTTCTGTGGCACTTTGTAAATAAACAGCATGAATGTAGAATCTACTGAAGACAGCAGGAGCGGGTCTTCACACTGAGGGAAAGAGAAGCTTCTGAGTCCTTCTTCACAGGGACAAACATCTCTGTGGAGGATGTGTTTCCTTCAGGACCTGAGGCTGGAGCAGTGGAGGACCCTGCAGTAAAGATAAATGTCTTTGTTGTGGATCAGATGGAACAGTTGCAGACGCTGGTTTCAAAGCCTTTGTAGGCGAAGAATATGTATGTCCACCTTTGTGGAGAATTAACTATCCTACGATGGCTTAAAAAATTAAACATGTAGAATGGGCTTAGGCTGTCTCACAGATACGTGCTTATCCTACAAATGTGAGTTTTACTTAGACCTAGTTCAAGTAGGTAGTTAACCTTTAGCGTACCAATCTTGTTTTAAAGATATAAAGGTCTAAACAAACTCATCATAATCAGTCTCAATAAATTTAAAAGGCAGCGTGACTTCTTTAACCAATCCAGGGAGTTCGTATAATCTATGATAAAATAATAACTTAGCAACAGCTTAAAAGACTGTGGTTTTATTACTCAAAGGCCAGTTTAAACAAAGGACAATGTAACGAGTTGTGGAGATCGTAAGGCCCGCTTACGTGCGTGAGGACAGAGAGGGAGGAGAAATGGCCAAGGAACCAGAAGACAAGAGAGCGTCATGCGCTCTTGTTGTTGCTTTTAAGAGTCAGCATCCTTGGGGGTGTGGTTTGCGGTGACCTCATCGGCCTGAACACCGCTGATAGGTCAAACAGGTCACTGGGCACAGTTAAGACAGTACAGGCACTAAATGTTTATACAAACAGTTAAAAGTTGAGTCGGACAGTACAGACTAAGTAAGTAATCTTAATTTATATACCGCCTTTTCACTGCACATCGGAGTCTCAAAGAGGTTTACAATTGTGATTTTTTTGTGTGCCAGTACAGGAGGCACATGCCAGACCTATTGTACATATTTTTAGTGGTAGGGGAAACCGGAGCACCCAGAGGAAACCTACGCAGACACAGGGAGAACATGCAAACTCCACTCAGAAAGGCCCTGGTCCAACCGGGATTCGAACCCAGGACCTTCTTGCTGAGAGGCGAGAGTGCTATCCACTGTGTCAGAATATTTAGTCACAGACAAATGATATGGCCACATATTTTTCTACTCTCTTTATAAGAGTGTCGTGTTTGGCTCTCTCTGTTGCGTATTGTCTGTCTCAGAGCCCTCCCTCCCAGCAGGTTGTGACGCCCTGAACCGGGGAATCAGCAGACGGATCAATGTTGCTTTTATTAAGTTAAAACAGAGGCGAGCTGGGGTGGCACCTCCCACTAAGCAAGCAGACGTTGAATCAACGTCATTGCCCGACGTAGAATATAGGTCACTGGTGGGTGCAGAACGAAAGACGTCGTTTCCCAACGTCATCCGGACGTGATTTCCCGACGTCGCCTCGACCGCAAAATGTGACGTTGATGGCACGTTTATTCAAGGTTGAAATGTGGAGCGGAACCGGTCGGGTCCAACGTCCTATCAACGTCTTATATGACCAGAATATTGACGTTCATATGACGTCCATTTACAGTCCTATTGACCCACTTAACCTCTGCAGAATCACTTACTAGCCAAGACATACTTTTTGCAATAGGTAAGGCAAGTTTATTTGTATAGCACAGTCAATACAAAAGGAAACTCAAAGGACTGAACAAAAAAATATTGAAACAATCGCACAAGAAATTAAAATCATAAATTAAAGCCGCAAGCGGCGTCGAACGGCCCTCGCCGCACCGCGCGACTCCCCACACCAAGCCGCCCCTGCACCAAGCCGCCCCTGCACCAAGCCGCCCCTGCACCACGCCGCCCCGCCGCCCCTGCACCAAGCCGCCCCTGCACCAAGCCGCCCCTGCACCAAGCCGCCCCTGCACCAAGCGGCTCTGCACCAAGCCGCCCCTGCACCAAGCCGCCCCTGCACCAAGCCGCCCCTGCACCAAGCCGCCCCTGCACCAAGCGGCCCCTGCACCAAGCCGCAACGCGCCGTTCCACAACGCCCCGCACTACGCCGCACCACACCGTACATCACCGTACCACGCAGCACCGCGCAAAGGAGGTGGCGCCGCCGTGTGATGATTTGTTCCCGTAGCCATAGAAGAATATTAGTCCAATTGTAATTAATATAATACGTAGAGGTGGTTTGGCTCCCCATGTAAAACTTTGCCTCAGTCTGTAGGGGGCGCTAATGGGCCAATTTCCAATATTTCACTTTCAAATGACCTAGACCCTAGAGTTGAACAATGGATTCAAGTTTTGTGCAAATCAGACTTTGTTTGTGCAAACAGGAGAAAATTTAATGTTGTCAAAAACGGCCAAAAAAAACTCACATTTTGAAAAATCCCTGAGGTCATTTTGAAGGTACATGTGTTGAGATGATGTGGAGTGATTTTGGGGCCAATCGGTGAAACCGCCGAGGAGGAGTCGCTTTCCAACCGACATGTGTGAAAGTTGTTGCTGTTTATTTTTCCATTTTGCAGTGAAATTTATGGGCTTCCTGTTTTTCAGAGGGCGGGGCCATAATAATATTTTTTTCTTGTCTTGACTTGAGGAACATGTGTGCCGAATTTCATGGCTCTACGACAATTTTTACCTCCAACCCGTCCCATAGGCGTTTTTAAATTGGCTGTTGTAGGTGGCGCTATAGAGCCAATTTCAAATTTTTAACTTTCAAATGACCTAGACCCAAGAGTTGAACCGAGGATTCAAGTTTTGTGCAAATCAGACTTTGTTTGTGCAAACGGAACCAGTTTTTCTACTGTCAAAAACTGAAAGAAAATATGCCTTTTTTTGGCGCTCCGCTGCTCAAACAATGTTTCACTGATCAAAATTCGCTGACATTAAATTGATGGTACATGTGTTGAGATGATGTGGAGCGATTTTGAGGCGAATCGGTGAAACGGCCGAGGAGGAGTCGCTTTCCAACCGACATGTATGAAAAGGATCATTTTTCATTTTTCCATTTTGAAGTGAAATTCATGGGGCGGGGCCATAATAACTTTTATTTCATGTCTTGAGGAACATGTGTACCAAATATCATGCCTGTACAGCAAACTTGACCTCGAAAAGTCCCATAGGGGTATTATTATTAGGACCGAGCCCCGAACAGGGTAAGGGCCTATTGCTTTCACAATGGTGAAAACAAATGGTGGCGGTGCGTGACGGACGCGTCAGCGCCCGTCACTCACCCCGAGGTGACGCTTGCGTGCGTAAACTGAAACGCTTTAAAATGATGTATCACGTGCCATTGAAACCTATATTGTTTTTGCTCGAGACGTCGAAAAAAAATTCCGCGTCAGCGCCCGTCATTCACCAAAACGTGACGGTAGAGGACTGAGGACCTGGCAGAGGACTTATCATATTCATTACAATTTGACTAACATTCTTCTATGGCTACGGGAACAAATCATCACACGGCGGCGCCACCTCCTTTGCACGGTGCTGCGTGGCACGGTGTGGTGCAGCGTAGTCCGGGGCGTTGTGGAGCGGCACGTTGCGGCTTGGTGCGGGACGGCGTTGTGCGGGGTGGCTTGGTGCGGGGTGGCTTGGAGCGGGACGGCGTGGCACGGGGTGGTGCGCGCGGTGAGGGGAGTGCGCACGGTTCGGGGGTCGCGCGGTGCGGCGAGGCCCGTTCGACGCCGCTTGCGGCTTTAATTTCTTTTTTTTTCTTCTGCACTTTGAGCCTTAATTTGACCCCTTGAACATGCATGAAAAGTTGTAAAACTTTGCCCAAAAATCAGACCCGGCAAAAATTTGATATTTTGGTGTTTATTTTTATGGGACTCAAAAAATGCCAGAACAGCGCCACCTACAACAGCCAAAATAATACCCCTATGGGACTTTTGGAGGTCAAGTTTGTTGTAGAGTCATGAAATTTGGTACACATGTTCCTCAAGTCCAGACAAGAAAAAAAATATTATTATGGCTCCGCCCTCTGACAAACAGGAAGCCCATACATTTAAATGTGACCTTTTTTCCCCATTTTGACGATAGAAACAATGCTCCCTTTTGCACAAACCAAGTCCGATTTGCACCAAATTTGATTCGGTTGTTCAACTTTTGGGTTTGGGTAAACTGAAAGTGTAAAATATTAAATTGCAGCATTAGCGCCCCCTACAGACTGAGTAAAACTTTTACATAGGGGACACAGCGCATTTAGTTTTTCTGCTTTTTGATCTCACACAGTATTTGACCCAAGGAGTGGGAGTTGCGCGGGGCGGGGAGGCACCATCTCCTTTGTGCTACGGTGTACGGTGTGGTGTGGGCCGGTGCGGTGCAGTGCGGCGCGGTGCCGCGTGGTAGGGGGCGGCTTGGTGCGGGGTGGCCTAGTGCGGGGCGGTGCGGCGCGGGGAGGCGAGTTGCGCGGAGTTGCAGGGGCGGCGAGGGCCGTTCGACGCCGCTTGCGGCTTTAATATTTAGGCCCGAGCCCTGAACGAGGTAAGGGCCTATTGCTTTCACAATGGTGAAAACAAATTGTGGCGGTGCGTCAGAGACTGAAGGGAGCGACCAGAGACTAGAAAGAGACCAGAGACTAGAAAGAGACCAGAGACTAGAGAGAGACCAGAGACTAGAGAGAGACCAGAGACTAGAGAGAGACCAGAGACTAGAGAGAGACCAGAGACTAGAGAGAGACCAGAGACTAGAGAGAGACCAGAGACTAGAGAGAGACCAGAGACTAGAGAGAGACCAGAGACTAGAGAGAGACCAGAGACTAGAGAGAGACCAGAGACTAGAGAGAGACTAGAGACTTGAGAGAGACTAGAGACTAGAGAGAGACCAGAGACTAGAGAGAGACCAGAGACTAGAGAGAAAACAGAGACTAGAGAGAGACCAGAGACTAGAGAGAGACTAGAGACTTGAGAGAGACCAAAGACTAGAGAGAGTCCGAGACTAGAGAGGGACCAGAGACTAGAGAGACCAGACACTAGAGATAGACCGAGACTAGAGAGAGACCAGAGACCAGAGAGAGACCAGAGACCAGAGAGAAACCGAGACTAGCGAGAGACCAGAGACTAGAGAGAGACCAGAGACTAGAGAGAGAGACCACAGACCAGAGAGAGACCAGAGACCAAAGAGAGAGACAGAGACTTGAGAGAGACCAGAGACTAGAGAGAGACCAGAGACTAGAGAGAGACCAGAGACTAGAGAGAGACCAGAGACTAGAAAGAGACCAGAGACTAGAGAGAGACCAGAGACTAGAGAGAGACTAGAGACTTGAGAGAGACTAGAGACTAGAAAGAGACCAGAGACTAGAGAGAGACCAGAGACTAGAGAGAGACTAGAGACTTGAGAGAGACTAGAGACTAGAAAGAGACCAGAGACTAGAGAGGGACCAGAGACTAGAGAGGGACCAGAGACTAGAGAGAGATTGCGATGCACTTTATGCACCCTCTGCAGTTGGTCCAAAACTCAGCAGCAGGACTTTGAACAGGAAGCAGAAGGCGCGGTCACATGACTCCAGCTCTGGCTCCGCTGCACTGGCTTCCTCTTCAGAGACCAGAGAGGGACCAGAGAGAGACCAGAGAGAGACCAGAGAGAGACCAGAGAGAGACCAGAGAGAGACCAGAGAGAGACCAGAGAGAGACCAGAGAGAGACCAGAGAGAGACCAGAGAGAGACCAGAGAGAGACCAGAGAGAGACCAGAGAGAGACCAGAGAGGGACCAGAGAGAGACCAGAGAGAGACCAGAGAGAGACCAGAGAGAGACCAGAGAGAGACCAGAGAGAGACCAGAGAGAGAGACCAGAGAGAGACCAGAGAGAGACCAGAGAGAGAGACCAGAAAGAGAGACCAGAGAGTGACCAGAGAGAGAACAGAGAGAGACCAGAGAGGGACCAGAGAGAGAGACCAGAGAGAGACCAGAGAGAGAGCAGAGAGAGAGCAGAGAGAGACCAATGAGAGAGACCAGAGAGAGGCCAGAGAGAGGCCAGAGAGAGAGACCAGAAAGAGAGAGACCAAAGACCAGAGAAAGACTGAGACCAGAGAGAGACCAGATGTGAGTGAGTCCAGGACCCTCCTGTCTCCTCCTGCTGCACTGTGTCCAGGACAGAGCAATATCATGAAACAAAGTGACTCTGGTTCTGATTCCAGCCTCTACAACATGGACCCACGAGGATCTGGCCCCGGGTCTAAACCCAGACCTGGACCCAGACCTGGACCTGCTCCCAGCTCTCAGTCTCTGAAAAGTGACTGGTCCAAAGACGGGCCTCCAGACTTCAGAGAAGATGGTCCTGAAGATCAGAGGTGAGACTTGAACCCATGTTGTTAAGACCTTCATCAAAGACTGTGGTTCTGTGGCACTTTGTAAATAAACAGCATGAATGTAGAATCTACTGAAGACAGCAGGAGCGGGTCTTCACACTGAGGGAAAGAGAAGCTTCTGAGTCCTTCTTCACAGGGACAAACATCTCTGTGGAGGATGTGTTTCCTTCAGGACCTGAGGCTGGAGCAGTGGAGGACCCTGCAGTAAAGATAAATGTCTTTGTTGTGGATCAGATGGAACAGTTGCAGACGCTGGTTTCAAAGCCTTCTCTCTGGAGCCGCTTTCAGAGCCTGGATTGGCTTCATGTGGAAGACTGAATGAGACAGAATATATTTGCAGATCTGAGATCAGCTCCGTGTGAACGTGGCCAAAGAGCTTTCTGACAGATCTGTTGAAGCTCACTCACATTTGTTAGGGCACTTTTTATCAACACATGTTGACACCAAGACCACAATGCAACAGGATAAAGTGATGATGATGAGGTGAAGAAGCCCAGGGCCTGTAGAGCCAGAAGGCAACACTTCAGAGTCACCACAAACGTACAACTTCATCTGTGGCAAAATGTCTGGTGTCTCTGGTGCTGAAGCTGGGAGTCCCAGGTTTAGTGCTGTGTAGAAGCTCTTTATAGAAACAATCCTTTTCTCTCCTGTTTGAGTCTGTGTTCTTCTATTGTGCACACTAAATAAATGCTGAGTGTGTTTCACAGGGATCCAGGTCCAAAGGAGCCGCTGGACGCCATCTTGAGGGTAAGTGTCCACCACCGCAGCTTGTGTGGCCTTCTCTGGCTGCTCCTCAGCGTCTCTCTGTGAACTCTTATTATTCTGTTCCAGCGTCTGCAAGAGGACGTGGTGACTTTTGTCAAAGAGCAGCTGCAGAGGATCCAAAGGCTCCTGGCCTCAGATTACCCAGAATGCTCTGAGAGTGAGGAGGAGAGCAGAGAGGTTCTGAAGATCGCCCTGGACTTCCTGAAGAGGATGAAGCAGGATGAGCTGGTCCAGCGCCTGCAGAGCAGTAAGAACTCTCTGTGTCTGTAGCAACACAACATGTGTTTACTAGAGACACACACATTTCTGGCTCTCAGGCTCTGAACACTCACCACACATCGGTAATGGGCCCAGATTTCACCCAAATCAGAACTTTCTTTTGGATCATGGGAGTTACCGACTCAGCCACAAACACATGGTGTTAACTTAAGCTCCGCCCACATGTTCTCCCTCATTTTAAAGATCAGAATCGACAGATTTCACTTGTTATGATATAATCTAAGTATCTATATTTGACAATTATAATTCACTTGGTGAAATGGTGTTAGTTGTTAGCCTTGTTTGTTAGCATCTTTGGCTAACGCTAATGGAGGCGGGGTCAGTTCAGTGGTCACATGGTCACAGCTGTTTGTCTTTATTCAGGAAGCACTGTTGGAGTTTGTAGAGATGAACTGAAGAAGCAGCTGCAGCAGAAGTTCAGCCGTGTGTTTGAGGGCGTGGCTAAAGCAGGAGACTCCGCCCCCCTGACCCAGATCTACACAGAGCTCTACATCACAGAGGGCGGGGCCTCAGAGGTCAACCAGGAACATGAGGTCAGACTGATGGAGAGCGCGTCCAGGAGACCAGCCGCTCCAGAGACCCCCATCACCTGTGAAGACATGTTTAAGCCCCGCCCACACTCACCACAGCCAATCAGAGCGCTGCTGACGAAGGGCGTGGCCGGCGTGGGGAAGACTGTGCTGACTCAGAAGTTTAGTCTGGACTGGGCTGAAGGCAGAGCTCATCAGGACCTCCAGCTGCTGTTCCCCTTCTCCTTCAGAGAGCTCAATGTTGTGAAGGACAGAAGCTTCAGCCTGGTGGGACTCATACAGCACTTCTTCAGTCCATCCAAAGGTCTCTGCAGCTTTGAAGACCTCCAGGTGCTCCTCATCTTTGACGGTCTGGACGAGTGCAGACTTCCTCTGGCCTTCAGCAGCTCTCGTGTCCTCTCAGACCCCACAGAGTCCGTCTCTCTGGACCTGCTGCTGGTGAACCTCATCAGGGAAGCCTGCTTCCCTCCGCTCGCCTCTGGATCACCACACGCCCAGCGGCGGCCAATCAGATCCCTGCAGAGTGCGTCTCCATGGTGACAGAGGTCCGAGGCTTCACCGACCCGCAGAAGGAGCAGTACTTCAGGAAGAGGTTCAGAGACGAGCGACAGGCCACAGCGATCATCTCCCACATCAAGAGCGTCCGCAGCCTCCACATCATGTGCCACATCCCAGTCTTCTGCTGGATCCTCTCCACAGTTCTACAGAAGCTTCTGGAACAAACAGAGGAACCAGAGCTGCCCCGGACCCTCACACAGATGTACACACACTTCCTGGTGGTGCAGGCCAAAGTCCAGAACATCAAGTATCAGCAGGGATCAGGGGCGGAGCTTCACTGGACTCCACAGACCAGGGAGATGGTGACGTCTCTGGGAAAACTGGCCTTTGAGCAGCTGCAGAGAGGAAACCTGATCTTCTACGACTGTGACCTGAGCGAGTGTGGGCTGGACGCTGCAGCCGCCTCAGTGTACTCCGGAGTCTTCACACAGGTCTTTAGAGAGGAGCCAGGCCTGTACCAGGACAAGGTCTACTGCTTCATCCATCTGAGTGTGCAGGAGTTTCTGGCTGCTCTTTACGTCCATCAGACCTTCTACAGCTCTGGACAGAACCTGCTGAAGACACCACAGTCCTCTGAGAACCTGCTGAAGACACCACAGTCCTCTGAGAACCTGCTGAAGACACCACAGTCCTCTGAGAACGTGCTGAAGACACCACAGTCCTCTGAGAACCTGCTGAAGACACCACAGTCCTCTGAGAACCTGCTGAAGACACCACAGTCCTCTGAGAACCTGCTGAAGACACCACAGTCCTCTGAGAACCTGCTGAAGACACCACAGTCCTCTGAGAACCTGCTGAAGACACCACAGTCCTCTGAGACCCTGCTGAAGACACCACAGTCCTCTGAGAACCTGCTGAAGACACCACAGTCCTCTGAGAACGTGCTGAAGACACCACAGTCGTCTGAGAACGTGCTGAAGACACCACAGTCGTCTGAGAACGTGCTGAAGACACCACAGTCCTCTGAGAACCTGCTGAAGACACCACAGTCCTCTGAGTCTGAGGGAACTTTCTACATCTGTGCTGTGGACCAGGCCTTACAGAGTCCAAACGGACACCTGGACCTGTTCCTGCGCTTCCTCCTGGGGCTGTCTCTGCCGACCAATCAGAGGCTGCTGTCAGGTCTGACTCAGACAGGAAGTGGCTCAGGGACCAATCAGGAGACAGTAAAGTACATCAAAGAGAAGCTGGATGAAAAGGGTCTGTCTGCAGAGAGAAGCATGAACCTGCTGCACTGTCTGATGGAGCTGAACGACCTCAGTCTGGTGCAGCAGATACAGAAGTACATGAGAGCAGGAGAACTCTCCAGGTTAAGTTCTCCTGCTGATTGGTCGACTCTGTCCTTCGTCTTACTGTCCTCAGACTCAGACCTGCAGGACTTTGACCTGAGGACATACCAGGCCTCAGAGACAGGTCTCCTGGGTCTGCTGCCGGTGGTCAGAGCCTCCACCAAAGTCCTGTGAGTCCAGACTGTGTTGAAGGTCTTCTGTGGAGGGTCTAGTCTCTAATGTGTCTCTGTCCTCAGGTTGAGGGACAGTGGACTGTCCCCTCACAGCTGTGGTCCTCTGGCCTCAGTCCTCAGCTCCTCCAGTCTCACACACCTGGATCTGAGTAACAACGACCTCCAGGACTCAGGAGTGGAGCTGCTGTGTTCTGGACTGAAGAGCGCCCCCTGTGGACTGCACACTCTCAGGTGAGACTCCCATGATGCATCTGTGTCCTCTGTGTCCACATGAGTGTAACGCTGTGTGTCTTTAGGCTGTCTGGATGTCTGATCTCAGAGAGGGGCGGGGCTGCTCTGGCCTCAGCTCTAAGCCCCGCCCCCTCCCATCTGAGAGAGTTGGACCTGAGCTACAACCATCCAGGAGGTTCATCAGAGCTGCTGAAGGCTCTACAGGACGACCCACACTGCCCCCTGCAGGAACTCAGGTCTGACTCTGAACTGACCTGGTCTAGGTCTTGGTCTCTGGTCCTGGTCCAGGTCTTGGTCTTTGGTCCTGGTCCAGGTCCTGGTCTCTGGTCTCTGGTCCAGGTATTCGTCTCTGGTCCTTGTCACTGGTCCTGGTTCTTCTCCAGGTCCTGGTCTTGGTCTCTGGTCCTGGTCTTGGTCTCTGGTCCTGGTCTTGGTCCTGGTCCTGGTCCTGGTCCTGGTCCTGGTCCTGGTCTCTGGTCTGGATCTTGGTCTCTGGTCCTGGTCTCGGTCTCTGATCTCTGGTCCTGGTCCTTCTCCTGGTCTCTGGTCCAGGTCCTGGTCCTGGTCGAGATCCTGGTCCTAGTCCAGGTCCTGGTCTCTGGTCCTGGTCTTGGTCCTGGTCCAGGTCCTGGTCTTAGTCTCTGGTCCTGGTCCTGGTCCTGCTCCTGGTCTCTGATCTTGGTCTCTGGTCCAGGTCTTGGTCTCTGGTCCTGGTCTTGTCCTGGTCTAGGCCTTAGTCCTGGTCCTGGTCCTGGTCTTGGTCTTGGTCTCTGGACCGGGTCTTGTTCCTGGTCCTGGTCTTGGTATTTGTCTCTGGTCCAGGTCCTGGTCCTGGTCCTGGTCCTGGTCTTGGTCTCTGGTCCTGGTCTAGGCCTTAGTCCTGGTCCTGGTCTCTGGTCCTGGTCCTGGTCTTGGTCTCTGGTCCTGGTCTTGATCCTGGTCTAGGCCTTAGTCCAGGTCTTGGTCTCTTGTCCTGGTCTGGGTCCTGGTCTCTGGTCTCTGGTCTAGATCTTGGTCTCTGGTCCTGGTCTCTGGTCTTGGTCTTGGTCTTGGACTTGATCTTGATCCTGGTGCTGGTCCTGGTCTTGATCCTGGTCTAGGCCTTAGTCCAGGTCTTGGTCTCTTGTCCTGGTCCTGGTCTCTGGTCTAGATTTTGGTCTCTGGTCTTGGTCTTGGTCCTGGTCTTGGTCCATGTCTTGGTCTCTGGTCTAGATCTTGGTCTCTGGTCCAGGTCCTAGTCCTGGTCCTGGTCTTGGTCTTGGTCTTGGTCTTGGTCTTGGTCTTGGTCTTGGACTTGATCCTGGTGCTGGTCTAGGTCTTGGTCCATGGTCCTGGTCTTGATCCTGGTCTAGGCCTTAGTCCAGGTCTTGGTCTCTTGTCCTGGTCCTGGTCTCTGGTCTCTGGTCCTGGTCCATGTCTTGGTCTCTGTTCCTGGTCTCTGGTCCTGGTCTCTGGTCCTGGTCTCTGGTCCTGGTCTCTGGTCCTGGTCTCTGGTCTCTGGTCTCTGGTCTCTGGTCTCTGGTCCTGGTCTTGGTCTCTGTTCCTGGTCCTGGTCTCTGGTCCTGATCCTGGTCCTGGTCTCTGTTCCTGGTCTCTGGTCCTACTCTCTGGTCTCTGGTCCTGGTCCTGGTCCTGGTCCTGGTCCTGGTCCTGGCCCTGGCCCTGGTCCTGGTCCTGATCCTGGTCCTGGTCCTGGTCCTGGTCCTGGTCCTGGTCCTGGTCCTGGTCCTGGTCCTGGTCTCTGGTCCTGGTCCTGGTCCTGGTCTCTGGTCCTGGTCCTGGTCCTGGTCCTGGTCCTGGTCCTGGTCCTGGTCCTGGTCTAAAGTGCCTTGTGTGTTGCAGGTTGGATCCTGCTGGAGAACAGTGGATGGTTCCAGGTCTGAGGAAGTGTGAGTTTCTCATTCACTTTATATAAAGTTATTTATATAAAGTTATTTATATAAAGTTATTTATATAAAGTTATTTATATAAAGTTATTTATATAAAAGTTATTTATATAAAGTTATTTATATAAAGTTATTTATATAAAGTTATCTTTACTCTGTGGTTAAAGCGTCTGGAGCTGATGTTTCTTCTTGTTTTGTGTTTTTCCTCAGATTCCTGTGAGTTTTCTCTGGATCCAAACTCGGCTCACAGAATCCTCAAACTGTCTGAGGACAAACGGACAGTGACCAGAGGGACAGAGGAGCAGCAGTGTCCAGGGCATCAGGACAGATTTACAGACCAGCCACAGGTCCTGAGCAGCACTGGCCTGAGGGGGCGCTGTTACTGGGAGGTGGACTGGACCAGGAGGAGGAGGGGGAGGAGGACATTGAGATCGCAGTGAGTCACAGAGGAATCAGACGCAGAGGGACGAGAGAAGAGAGTGGGTTTGGAACCAATGATCAGTCCTGGAGTCTGAGGGTCTATGGGGGACGTTACTGTTTATATCACAACAACAGAGAAACAGTCTCCTCCTCCTCCTCCTCCTTCTCTCTCTCAGGTCGAGTGTCTGTGTTCCTGGACTCTGAGGCTGGATCTCTGTCCTTCTATGAGGTCCTCTCTGATGGAGAACTGTTCCACCTCCACACCTTCACCTCCTCCTTCTCTGAGCCTGTGTTTCCTGGGTTTGGACTGAGGTCTGAAGGTTCCTCTGTGTCTGTGGTGGATCTGAGGAGAGCGCCCCCTGCTGGACTGAGGTCTGAAGGTTCCTCTGTGTCTGTGGTGGATCTGAGGAGAGCGCCCCCTGCTGGACTGAGGTCTGAAGGTTCCTCTGTGTCTGTGGTGGATCTGAGGAGAGCGCCCCCTGCTGGACTGGGGTCTGAAGGTTCCTCTGTGTCTGTGGTGGATCTGAGGAGAGCGCCCCCTGCTGGACAATACAATACTTCTTCTTAACTCGCTGTAATGTCTTCATAAAAGCAGAAAGTAAATATCAATATATCTGTACATTGATGGTGTCGATGGTGATGTCACACTCTGTCGATGGTCCCTGTTTATGGTCCGTCACCTTTAGCTTCAATCAGGAACTTGTGGCACTTATAACATATTCCCCATAAGCCTTAAAGGTCCCATATTCCACTTTTGGACCTTTCTCTGCTTAAAACATCATCACAGTTCTAGTAGTTTTTTCATTGATTCGCTCGAGCTTTAGTTGGAGAGCGATCTTTCTCTTTCATTCTCCAGAGGAAACAAAACGACTGGATTCAGATGGACATAGGATCGAGGACATGGGGCTCTTTGCCACGGATCATTGTTGGAAAAACTTTATTCTTATTTAAAGATGAACATTTAGCTTTCCCGCTGTGTGTTTACAAAGTTAGCATGAGGCTACGTCACTGCGGGTGGAGGTGGGAGGAGGGGAGGAGGTGGGAGGAGGTGGGAGGAGGCGGGCTCACAGGTATTCTTTGTATTCACTTTACTTTCACTTTCAATGATGTTGTATTGTTTGTTTTCACTTTACTTAAATAAATGTATTCTGTGATTCAACACTTCTGTTTATTCATTTAAAGAAATCTCACAAAAGTTTGTTTCTGATAAAATGCTTGATGTGAGAGAATTTATTCCTGAGGCTCAGAATATATAGATTTCAGTTTGTTCTGTGGTTAAAGTCCTCGTCGTTGGTTGAAGCCTGTGACACAATGTGGGTTATTATTAGAAGATTGATTCCTACACAGATTCAGTTTGTCTGGTTGGACTGTCCCAGTGTTCAGAAATTAGAGGGGAAGGGGAAAGCAGGGGAGGGTCACAGGAGAGTTTGGAAGGTTGGGTTGGTCATGGAGGTGGAGGGGTGGGTGAGGAGGGGGGAGGAGGGGGTGGTTGAGAATGGGGGAGTAGAGGGTGGCTGAGGAGTGGATGGGTGAGGGGGGGGATGAGGCAATAAGTCGCAACTAAAATTTCAACAAAATCCAACAAAATATGTCTTTTACAAAGTCACATTTATTGAGCACATTTTTGTTTCAGAAAGTGCTCGTTCAGACTTTGAAGTCGTCATTCCATGTTGTAGATCAGAGTCAGTGACAGAAATCCTCTCGGCCCACTTAAACTGATGCCTCCTGCTGTCACCATCACTCTGCCTATTGGGAGACACATCACAGACTCTGAATCCACAGGACGTCAAACTGCTTCTGGCCGCTCTAACAAAACAACAAGAAACAATACTCCTCAACTGGAAATACAGACGGAAAATTAATATAAAACATTAAAAACATCTATTCATCGATCACATCTCTATGGAACAGTTATCCTCGTCAATAACTGCTCTGGTCTTTGGTCGTAGAAGACGTTGACAGGACGTCGGATCAGACCGGTTCTGTTCCACATTTAGACCTTGAATGGACGAAACATATTTGGAGGTCCAGATGACGTCGGGAAAACTTTCATTCTGCCCCCACCAGCGACATGTTTTCTACGTCGGACAATGAAGTTGAAATGAGGTTGTTTCGACATTGGCTTATTTAGTGGGAAAATGTGTGACAATAGAAGTATCCCTTTCAAACATTTTCTAACAAACATTGAATTTATTATTTTATTTTATTTTTATACCCACTTTGGCTTTTCACCTCGATTTCTTTGATTTACATTATTATTATTATTATTATGAATGTTGTTGTTATTGCTGTTGTTTGGAGAATAGTTGGGAGTTTGTTTCCGTGGTGATCTGGGGCCGTGGTGCTGACTGTCGATCTCGTTGTCATTTGTCGGTTTATTGTTGTTTTCGTGTCATCGTCATGTCCTTTATTGTTCCATTTCTGGGATAATCACAGAGCACCAGTCCCTCACTGATCCTCCTGCAGGTGGAAGATGCTGCTGCTTTGACAAAGATACAGCCTTGGTGTTTCAGTGGGGGCTTCAGGCAATGTGGGGTTAAGTGTCTTGCCCAAGGACACAGTGGGGGCTTCAGGCAATGTGGGGTTAAGTGTCTTGCCCAAGGACACAGTGGGGGCTTCAGGCAATGTGGGGTTAAGTGTCTTGCCCAGGGACAGAGTGGGAGCAGATAACATGGGTCGTGGGGGGATCGAACCCACAACCATCAGGTTCAGAGACCAATGTTCTACCAACTGATCCACTGTCGTCTCTATTTGAAGTTGTTTATACTAGAAATAATGAAGCAAATACAAATATAACAATAATAAACAACACACATAATAAAGTTTTACTGCGAGAAATCTATAAATATATGAAACCAAACAATCTCACCAGAGAAATGGGTCAGCAGGAGCAGGAGCGGAGCAGGCAGCAGAGAGGAGCAGCAGCAGGAGCAGCAGGAGCAGGAGCAGCAGCAGGAGCAGGAGGGCGGCAGCAGCAGCAGGAGAGCAGCAGCAGGAGCAGCAGAAGGAGCAGCAGCAGGAGATGCATCAGCAGGGGGCAGAGGGAGCAGCAGCAGGAGAGGAGCAGCAGCAGGAGAGGAGCAGCAGCAGGAGAGGAACAGCAGCAGGAGTGGAGCAGCAGCAGGAAGGAGCAGCAGCAGGAGAGGAGCAGCAGCAGGGCAGGAGAGGAGCAGCAGGAGTGGAGCAGCAGCAGGAGTGGAGCAGCAGGAGAGGAACAGCAGCAGGAGTGGAGCAGCAGCAGGAGAGGAGCAGCAGGAGAGGAGCAGCAGCAGGAGAGGAGCAGCAGGAGTGGAGCAGCAGCAGGAGAAGAGCAGCAGGAGAGGAACAGCAGGAGTGGAGCAGCAGGAGTGGAGCAGCAGGAGAGGAGCAGCAGGAGTAGAGCAGCAGGAGAGGAACAGCAGGAGTGGAGCAGCAGCAGAGGAGCAGCAGCAGGAGAGGAGCAGCAGGAGTGGAGCAGCAGCAGGAGGACACACACCTCTTCCTTGCTGCACACAAACCCTGCTTGTTTTTAATGCACCACAAATTGTAGGACACACAACACTTCCAATCACACACTTTCACAATATTCACCAGTTCCAAAGGTTTCTACCAAGACTCTCCCAAATGTGTGTGTTTTTGTGAGAATAGTGAGAGATGATTGGTGGATGATGGAGGCTCCTGATTGGTGGATGATGGAGGCTCCTGATTGGTGGATGATGGAGGCTCCTGATTGGTGGATGATGGAGGCTCCTGATTGGTGGATGATGATGGCTCCTGATTGGTGGATGATGATGGCTCCTGATTGGTGGATGATGATGGCTCCTGATTGGTGGATGATGGAGGCTCCTGATTGGTGGATGATGGAGGCTCCTGATTGGTGGATGATGGAGGCTCCTGATTGGTGGATGATGGAGGCTCCTGATTGGTGGATGATGATGGCTCCTGATTGGTGGATGATGGAGGCTCCTGATTGGTGGATGATGATGGCTCCTGATTGGTGGATGATGATGGCTCCTGATTGGTGGATGATGGAGGCTCCTGATTGGTGGATGATGGAGGCTTATCTTCATCAGTCTTTATCATCAGTCTTTATCATCATCAGTCTTTATCTTGATGGTATTGTTGATGGTCTTTGTTGATAGTTGGTGAATAAACCAGAACTACAGTATAAACACATGTTTCCATGACAACAGCACATCAGGATTGTTGTTGTTTGTTTGTTTGATGAAGACAATGCACATTAATAAACAATAAATGATTTGAAAGATTCCTCAGTTTCTGTTGAATTCAGGGTTCAGAGCTTTAAACGACTCAAATGCATGTACAGTGATGATTGGACTTTTTTTGTGAAGTGCATGAGTTGTGCTTTACAAATAAACTTGCCTAAAAATAAATAAATAAAACATAAATAAAAAATAAAAAATAAAAAAATAAAAAGATAAAAAAATAAAAAATAAAATAATTAAAATAAATAAATAAATAATAAATAAATAATAATAAAAAAATAAAAATAATAATAATACATACAAAAAATTAAAAATTAAAAATAAATACAAAAAATAAGGCCTCTTCCCACAAGCATCTCAAGCATACACTTTTAATGCACAACATCCCAAACCTGTTTTTAATGCACCACAGTCACACAGTAACAGTAACCGCTCTACCACCTCGCTCCCATCTCTGTGCGGAGTGAGAAGACTAATGCTCAGAACTGAAAAACTACTTTGTGACTCTGGCCTGGATGAAGATTACTTACTTTCTTACCAAAAACATTGATATGCCTAGTTATGGCTCTGCTGCCCTCTTCCCCCCAGCACCTCAACTCCTCTCATGTTATTACTATTATTATTATTACTATTCTCTTTCTTTTCTTTCTCCCTCGATCTCTCACTACCGGTCAATAGAACACCTTCAACACCCTCAGATAGATTCAATACACCAAAAGTGAACACACACACACACACACACACACACACACACACACACACACACACACACACACACACACACACACACACTCGCGCACGCTGAATCCCCCCTGTCCCCCCTCCTGACCCAATGTAAATGCTTAAATGTTCATGTAGGTTCATATGTACAAATGTGTCTATAATGTCTGTGCTGTAATATATGGTATATGCCAATAAATAAAAACCAAATAAACTTGCCTGTGTCTGTGGTGGATCTGAGGAGAGCGCCCCCTGCTGGACTGTGGTCTGAAGGTTCCTCTGTGTCTGTGGTGGATCTGAGGAGAGCGCCCCCTGCTGGACTGTGGTCTGAAGGTTCCTCTGTGTCTGTGGTGGATCTGAGGAGAGCGCCCCCTGCTGGACTGTGGTCTGAAGGTTCCTCTGTGTCTGTGGTGGATCTGAGGAGAGCGCCCCCTGCTGGACTGTGGTCTGAAGGTTCCTCTGTGTCTGTGGTGGATCTGAGGAGAGCGCCCCCTGCTGGACAATACAATACTTCTTCTTAACTCGCTGTAATGTCTTCATAAAAGCAGAAAGTAAATATCAATATATCTGTACATTGATGGTGATTGTTGACTATGGAACTGAATGACTTACACAAATATTTGTTTATCCTAAAAATGTACGTTTATGAAGGCTGTGTACAGGGAATCAGGACGGGACCAGGACGAGACCCAGGACGAGACCAGGACAAGACCAGGACAAGACCAGAGAAGGACCAGGGTGAGACAAGGGCAGGACCAGGAAAGACCAGTACAGGACAAGAGAAGGACAAGGACTGGACAACATTAGGACAGGACAAGACCAGAGACCAAGACCAGGAGAGACTAGGACAGGACCAGGAGAGACAGGACAGGACCAGGAGAGACCAGGACAGGACCAGGAGAGACCAGGACAGGACCAGGAGAGACAGGACAGCACCAGGAGAGACCAGGGCAGGACCAGGAGAGACCAGGAGAGGACCAGGAGAGACCAGGGCAGGACCAGGAGAGACAGGACAGCACCAGGAGAGACCAGGGCAGGACCAGGAGAGACCAGGAGAGGACCAGGAGAGACCAGGGCAGGACCAGGAGAGACCAGGACAGGACCAGGAGAGGACCAGGAGAGACCAGCAGGACCAGGAGAGACAGGACAGGACCAGGAGAGGACCAGGAGAGACCAGGACGTCAGTGTCTGTGGCTACAGCAGTGGTATTGACCCGAACCCAAACCACTGCATCATCATTATTTTCATATTAAAAACACTTTCTGAGTCTTGGATTATTTCTGCAACACACACAGGTCACTTATGGAACTACACATCTCCCACATGGTTTAATGGTTCAATCTGGCCCTTCACCACCAGATGGCGCCTGAGTCTTACATGTGGACCATTCCCAGAGAGACTTTCTTCCTGGTCTCTGTCACAGACAGCGACACATGCACATATTTACTGCATTAGAGTCTGACAGGTGTAGACTGTACGTGTCTTTGGTGTGGGACTAAAACGGATAAATGATACAAACAATAAACATCTCACATTCACTGATGGTTCCAGATCTCACACCATCAATACTTTGGCTCCAGGTCCCTGCACACACCAGAACAAAGCTCACTCTGTTATAGAAATCTGAATAAACATGAAATACTAACATGAATAAGGGTGTAATAAGGTGTAACAGTGTAATAACTTTATGTTTGGGATGTGTTTGATCTTTTTACTGTTGTGTATCTTTTGTTTATGGTGCAGTCGCTCACAATGTCTTCAACTGTTGTACCATTTATAGTCATTTATGTTTTGAATGTTCTGTGATGACTAAACATCTAGGATCTTATGAAGTGTGCCATACAAATAAAGCTGGCTAACATCAAAGGCCTAAATGTCCGTCTGAACACACCACACAACACCACGTCTCCCAGATAACTCTTTATTCTTCATTGTCATTTCAAAACAAACGTGGTACACTGGTGTGTGATGTCACATGGTCATTCAGCACACACACACACATGGTGTTCAAAGCTCTTTTCTATGGGACAGTCACCCCACACAACACTGAAATGGTTCATCAGCGACGGGGAGCGAGGGGAGGGGTCGGGGGTCATAGCACGCCGATACATTGTACCAAACACCCAATTATTTCACTTGTATTTCTGCACTCACACTCAGCGCTTGAGGCCGCTCCATTCCAACCCAGGCCAGTCTATTTACAACGGAACTTCATTCATAAAATATTGCACTTGTCGGCCCTTTGCATCTCCCAGCGAGCGCCGAGAGAATGCTGCTAAATGTTTCTACATAGATGTATATATATGTACATTATTTGGATAGAATCTACATTAGAATGGGTTTACTCATGCTTTTCTTTTTCTTAGTCATAAACTATGCCACGGACAACGGTGTGGAAGGAGAAGACACATGTTTGGCACCACTTTTATTTTCCATGGAGGAAAGAATAGGTTTTTGAAGGATAGATTGGTCTAGAAGAGGGTTAGTTACGAGTTTAGGTCGACAAAGGCCAGAGGGAATTCCAACGCACCATGATGTCAGACTTTTCTTCCATATTATTGATATTTTGACCCATTAACTTCTACATTTGTGACTATCCCAGTCTGCTTCGAGTATCTCTGTCATGTGCTGTAGCTATAGACTAAAACTGGCCGTGGGCTCGCCTCTCCGGGGATCTGGCGTGTAACGAAGCCCGCTGACATCACCAGTCTCCGGTCAGAGATCAGCAGAAACTATTTAGCAAAGCAACGGAACCATTTCAACCAAATTCACTGCTCGCTCAGTAATGGTTTGTCCCTGGTCTGGACCAAGGGTAGACCAAGACTAGACCCGGAACAAAACCTGGACCATATGCAATAATAAACACATAAATATTTAAATGATTAACATAAAGCTGCACCTTGGACCTGGATCCAGACTCAAAAAAGACCAAGACCAGGTCCAAGACCAGGACCAAAACAAAGACCAGGACCATGTCCTAGACCTACCAGGACAAAGACCAAGACCAGGACAAGGACCAAGACCAAGACCAAGACCAAGTACTAGACCTAGACCTAGACCTAGACCTAGTCCAAGTCCAAGTCCAAGTCCAAGTCCAAGACCAAGACCAAGACCAAGACCTAGATCTAGACCTAAACATAGACCTAGACCTAGTCCAAGTCCAAGTACTATACCTAGACCTAGACCTAGACCTAGACCTACTTTCTTGTGTAAGTACTTCTTTGGGGTATTGTGACTGTGTACTTTCTTGTGTAAGTACTTCTTTGGGGTATTGTGACTGTGTACTTTCTTGTGTAAGTACTTCTTTGGTGTATTGTGACTGTGTACTTTCTTGTGAAGTACTTCTTTGGGGTATTGTGACTGTGTACTTTCTTGTGTAAATACTTCTTTGGGGTATTGTGACTGTGTACTTTCTTGTGTAAATACTTCTTTGGGGTATTGTGACTGTGTACTTTCTTGTGTAAGTACTTCTTTGGGGTATTGTGACTGTGTACTTTCTTGTGTAAGTACTTCTTTGGGGTATTGTGACTGTGTACTTTCTTGTGTAAATACTTCTTTGGGGTATTGTGACTGTGTACTTTCTTGTCTTCTCTGTCTCAACTGGTTCTTGCAAAATGGCTGCTATCAGCACTAGTCCAGACAGTGAACTTGTGCACACTTGGGTTAGTCTTCGCTAAAATTTTGATTGTGTGCTCATATTCTACTAGAAAATAATCTTAAATAACAAATATCAGCACTTAAGCTTCACATTTCCATAAAAATATTATTACAAAACAGATTTACATTAAAACAAAATACATTTCTTATTTTCACTCACCAAGTCCCGATTCTCCACAGTACAACTTGCCTCGGTCACAGGACAAGGTGAAAAACCAAAAATACTCTTCTTTAACTTTCTTTCAAACAAAAAAATATCTACGACTCAAGACTCAAATATTTATTCACAAAAATCAGTTTTAAACACTTTTTACTCAAATATCTTTAAACTATTATCTCTTTCTCGTCTCCTTCTCTCCTTCTGCCCGCAATCACTTAAAAATACATAACATAACAAAAACAATGCTTTTAACAATCTTCTAAAAGCAGAACTAGTTTCTGGATTGGGCGCTCCACTATTGAAACTTTATTCAATCTTTCACCCTTTTTGTTGAGATTTCTGTCTGCATATGCTATTTTAACTTTTCTCACAAGTCCATCTTTATCTGTGACAGTGTCCAAGACTCTACCAAGTCTCCATGTTGTGATCGCGGCTGGGTTTCATCTTTGTCCATTACTATGTCGCCTGTTTGCATGTTTCTTTTGGGTGTGTGCCATCATTGTCGGACTATAATGTTGTGAAGATACTCCTTCTTCCACTGACTCCAGAATTGTTCCGCTAGATATTGTACTTGTCGCCATTGTTTTTGTGCATAGATATCCTCTTTAACGAACTGTCCTGGAGGAGGCAATGCTGCATTGGTTTTCATTGTGACAAGATGGTTTGGAGTAAGTGGTTCCAAACTGTTCGGATCGTTGAGATTGTCTGTTGTTAGGGGGCGGCTGTTCACTATTGCAGCTGCTTCGTACAGAAATGTTCTGAGTGACGCATCTGTGAGTCTTCCTTTTGCGAGAGTGAGCGTGGCATCGAGAACATTTCTCACAGTCCTTATTTGGCGTTCCCATACTCCACCTGCGTGACTTGCATGAGGGGTATTAAGAACGAAATCACATTGTTTTTTGGAAAGAAACATTGTCAGTTTGTTAGTGTCCATCTCGCTTAAAGCTGCATTCAGTTCATTTTTGGCACCTACAAAGTTAGTACCCTGATCACATTTTATTAGTCTGACAGAGCCTCTCAAAGCAATGAAGCGTCTCATTCCATTAATAAAAGTGTCTGTAGACAGGTCTTCAAGCATTTCCACATGTACTGCCCGTGAATAAAGACATGTGAAAAGAAGACCGTACCTTTTGTTCTCTTTTCTTGCTTGTTTTGTTATGAATGGGCCGAAAACATCCATACCACAGTATGTGAAGGGTGGAGAATGTTCGACTCTTTCTGTGGGGAGATCACTCATTTTTTGTTCTTCCACCGGCCTCCGTAGTCTCCTACAAAACACACACTGACGAATGTATGATGTTACTGCTTGATTTAGTTTGGGGATCCAATAGCCACTGGACCGTATCTCATTCATTGTGAAGCCTTTTCCTTGGTGAAGGACCTTCTCATGACAGTGAGCAATTGTGACGGGGTGAGCCCGTCCCTGAGCACGCTGTCCCACGGAGCGCATGTGAAGATGCGCGCGCCCGGTGCCATGGTGGCTGCGCGCAACGGCCAAGCCCATTCATTGACTACTGCTAGGGACTGTGTTTGTGACATGTGGCGTGCGTGAACGCGTCTTCAGGGTGCACACTTGGAAGCGTTGCATGGTGTGTTAAATCTGTTACATGTGTCATTCACTCGCCTGTGCTGGCGTGGTCGTGGCGTCTCCATGGTGCGGTTTGGCAAACCCGGACAT